ACTCACGTCGCCGAAATTAGTGAAGGTTATTTTATCAAGCTTAATTTTTTTGCCATCACTTTTGTTCTCTTTAAAAAAAATATTAGGTAGTGGAAACCTACGGTATAGTTACCACACACTAAGCGTCTGTAGTACATCCAATTTGACATAACGTTTTTACACGACACCGAAGCCAGTAAAGTGGACCTAGCTGATTGGATGAACTAGGTCATAGACCACTCGCATCGTTCTTGTACTATACGATTCAAATATGAATATAAAAAGATATAGAATTTTAAACTTACAGTTTACTTAACATGACATAGTCTTAACTTAAAGTTTAAAACGGACAAGCTCAGAAGAATGTGGTATAATACGAAACGAAGCTAAAAAAAATCGCAACTTAAAATAGTATATGAATAGGCATAAAACAGCGATTCTTTGATTACTATATCAATGAATCAACAATATTTAAAAAAAAATCTTATCGTCAAAATAAAATAAAATTACGAATGTTTTTTGATTTAAAAATGGAAACTTTTTTAAATCTATCGAGATTTTTTATATAGGGTGTAATGTCGGCAAAATAACCTGTTTTAGTTTATCTTTATCAAATACAAAATGTCATAATTATTATCTTCAGAACGGCTGAATGGTTGTCGACGAAATTTGGCATACATAAAACATAGTCTGGAAGGACAGTTAGGGACGGAGTCGCGGGCGACCGCTAGTGTTATAATAAATAAAAGGATCTAGTTTACATTACGCACGAGTAACATGATAATCCACTGATTCGAAGTCACCATGCAGTGTTGCCTCATCCAGGAAGATCGTAGGCGTCCCTCTACCTTGTCCAATGAATCATTTCACTTACCTATTGAATACTTTAACCGACGTTAGATATAAAGTGACCATAAAGACTAATAGATAATGTTCCTGACTGTTCCCTCAAATAGGAGAATGACCACTAATCTAGAAAACGGGGGTCAAGAACAGATGGATTAGCACAACAGATTGAATAAAGGTTGTCGTGGTTTGCAGGAACGGTGTTAGCTCTATTCTGGCTTAGATTTCTAAACTGCCTTCTTTTTTATCATGGTGTGGGGTTAGCAGGGTTATGAGAGACTGGAATTCATAGACCAGTGATGCCCTTTCTGCGCCCTGGGCCGTCGTCCATCCGCGCTCTACACCGGCCTTGGCTGTTGCGTCCCGTCTCTATTTTTTTCAATAGTTCAGTTCTTGAATTGAATAAAACTATCGTCTTTCTATGATTCCGGATTGCTAACATTACCGTAAACTTTAGAATACCTTTAGCACAAAGCTATCACTATGTAAATACACGGGATCGCGTTTCGAGATCAAGGACGGGCTCGAGATGGGTTTGTTAAGCGTTATCGGCCACGCGCCATCCGCTCCAAGGCCGGCATTCGATTCCCAACAGAGATACGAAAAATAACATGCCAACTATTTTTTTTAATATTCACGTTTGTTGGCAGAGATTTTTATACGTTTTGTCCTGGTACAATATGTTACATGCATATATCCAATTCTTTAAAAAAAAACTATAAATGTCTATCCTCTTGAATCTAGAAACACAAGTCGTTCCAGAGGTTCTTAGAACAAATTGCAATGATCTCTGCTTACGTTTTTGCATGATAGATGTCGCTTATGTATCACAAACAAAACAATATCGACTAAGGATTCGATGTTGTATCGAATGTCCGTCTGACGTGGGCTTTATCGTGAGGCCGTGGGCCAAGGCCGGGTCTCAGTGCGCCACGCGAGGCTCTTATGCCAGGGACATGTGGCAACCCTGGATGAATACAAGGCCTTTAATTAATTCAACAGTACACAAGTAGTCAATCTTTTAGGTTAGACAACAAGGTTTTAGGTTAGACACCTTTTCCGATGCTTTTGTATGTTATAAATATTAATTTCTATTGGGGATGACTTGGTTAACTAAATTGGCAAGTACTTGTATGTACCTTTTTATCTTTCTTAGACATAAACCATAAAACGTCTCAAAAGGTGACCGGTATATTAATTAGATGGAAGGAAATTACATAACTAAATCTTACTTCTATTATAAATGTGAATGTTTAGATGGATATTTGTTAGAAGGTATCTCCAGAATGGTTGCATGGATTTCGTTGAAATTAGGCATAGAAGTAGAACTTACCCTGGAAGAACACATAGGGTACTAATTAAGTTTTTTTTTAATTCGTAATTTAACGTAGTCGCGGGCTACAACTACTTGGAAGATAAATAAACGTATTATATTAAATTTTGGCAGTTTTCCTTAATTGAACTTATGTATTGTGAGTCAGTTTCTTATCACAAAAGACCGGATTCAAGGTCAAAGTGCGAGTCATCTGACATAACATACAAAAACATTTTGTTATGCAAATAGTTCCCGAATGTATTGTATGGAATTAACTAGCAACAGGGTTTTAACAGATATTTATCATAATTTGTTATCATTGACATCACATATGTACTTATATACATATATAAAGCATCAAGCTATGAGTCAGAGTACATAATATATGAATTGTAAAGGAACAACTGACGACAGCGAAGAATAAAGACGTGGAATAGACATAATTGTTCCGATTTTCCTAAATTTTTAGGGTTCCGTACTTCATAAGGAAAAATCCTTATAGGATGACTGTTGTCAGTCTGTCGGTCAAGACCCTTTTTTAAAGATCTTTTATCTACAACTATGTAAAAAGGCATAAAATGCAAAGATGATCTCTAAGGGAACAGATTTGTTCGTGTTTTCTCTAATTGTTTGTTACGCACAATTGAAGAATAGAAGAAGCAAAGGTGTGTCAAATCGCGACAAATAGAGGTCCGTTGTCTCTGCTTACCACTCTAGATTACGGGCGTGAGTTATGTTGTGTTTGTAATGAACGAGAAGAAAACATTGAGATGGGAACAATCAAGCGTAGCTTCCACGTGGACTTGACCGATTTGAGACATTGCCAATAGTTCTAAGAACTCATAACTCTTTTTGGAAAAGAACAACTATTTCCTTGTTATGCCTAAATAAGGTAAATAGGTATTCTTATGTACAGAACGAAATTATAAGAATCTAAAAATGAAGTAGGTTAAATACTCTTTTGTCAAAATTCTGGGCAAAAGAAGTCTATGTAGAGGATCCTTATTTTAGCCCGACTGCACTGTTTTAACGGGCTTGTTTTACCTGTAAAGCTACGAACCTAAGTGGATTATGTTTTACTTTGCAAAATAAACTGTATTGTTTTATATTCTTTGAGGTATTTCTTTGAGTTTTCTGAAGACCTTTAGCGCAGTAACAGGGTTGTCAATTTTTACGTAAACTGCACCCGAATATAGGCGAGAAAAAAATCTACGACTAGTAGACTAACGTCTTGAAACATAGCGGCCAATAAAAATAAATCATTTAACTACAGTCTTAACTTATCTACTAAAGTCATTGACTTACTTATAGATTGTAGTGCGTAGACATTGTCAAATCCGTAGCCCGGTTGGTGGCAACCCTAGCAGTATGCAGGGCGCGGAGTCGTGTGAGGTCAAGGTCGCTGCGACCTCGTACGACCCCGCGGCGACCCCGTATCACTTATCAACATTGGATGCTGCATACAAGAGCCACTCAAAGTTCTTTGCGTTGTAATTTGCAAATATCAAAGCATCTCCTAATCTCTGATCGCTAGTTAACACGTTAAACGCTGTTCGATTGAAGAACTGAAGGATTAGTCGGCATTGAATGTGTTAAACAATTTATACTCGTAATATTCATGATCATTAGATAACGTAATAGTTGATAATTTCTCCTAGAAATTATGTTTTAACTAGCGGGCGTCCCCGACTGCGTCCGCGCGGAATTAAAAAAAACTAAATCTACATCTGTGCTTAATTTCATCAAGATCCGTTGAGCCGTGTCAGAGATATTATACCTTCTAACAAACATACATCCATCTAAACTTTCGCATTAAAATATAAAGTAAGATTGTCTTTTGTTAAGTTATAATTTGGAATTAGCCGGAAAATGTTTCTGGAAACCTTATTTCTAAACACAACACCAAAAAAGCTTTCACTATTTTTTTTTTTAGTAGGAAATGACTTTTCTGTTACGGTCCAAAACGTTTTCGTATGATTCATTCGTCTTATCCTAATATAGCAGCGCTCTTAAAGTGCTTGTTTGTCGACTGTTAATTCATTTGGGTGCTTTGGATCAATTGCCATGCTTCGAGCACGTGACTCTACGCGTGTCTCAATTATACCAGCAAACTATGGATGTTCTTTGTATTCTACACGATTCGTCGTGTTTTTTTATGTCATATGGTGGCAAACTAGCGAGCGACCATAATATCGCTGAAATAGCGAAGTGACCGTTGCCCATAGACATACGCAATTGTATATGCGTTGCCTACCTTTAATCGACGGAGGAGAGGATGCACACAAAATATTTTCTCTTCCCATGTATACTCTCATCCGGAAAGTCTACTTTCACTTCCCATCCTTTTCTTATAAGAAAACGGTGGGAAGGGAAAGAGGACTACTACTAAATTAGGCCTCCGGGACGCACACTCATCAGACGAAACGCGGAATTGCTTCTACTTCACTCCTGTCTTCTATGTGGAGAGTACAATAATCGTGATTTTTACAACATACTATAACTTTCTATCTATACAATTTCACCTTATTCCTAATAATATATGAAATAGTATTATGTTCCTTGTTTATAATTGTCTTTATTTGGATCATTGTTGGTCACTAATCATCTGAAATCAACTAAAATTGATGACCTGCAAATCACAGTCCACATATACGAAGCGGATCAGTGAATCGCGTCAAAGTTCAATTTGTAGAACTGACAATAACTTACGATAGGTCACGGGATTGTCGCGCGTCACTTCCATACATTTTGAAGTTTGATATGGAATCGCATGGAAGCGAATGCACTTTGTCTAACCCCGCTCCATCAGTGGGTCTACAGATTGTGTGGTCGATTTCTAATTTGTTTGTTTCGTTTTTAGGTTGCCATAAAAATAATAGACAAAGCGCGATTAGATGAAGATAATTTGAAAAAGACATTTCGTGAGATTGCCATCATGAAGAGAATGAGACACCCGCATATTGTTAAATTATATCAGGTGAGTTTTTTTTTTAATCCTTATCTATTTTCCATCCCTTATAGGAATATAAGACTAGCTGTCGCCTGCGTTTCCGTCCGCGCGGAATTAAAAAAAGTTAATAAGTAGCCTATGTGTTCCTCTAGCTCTAGGCTTTGTTCTATATCTATGCCAAATTTCAGCGAGATCCGTTTAGCCGTTCCGGAGATACCTTCAAATATCCATCCTACCATCTAAACATTCCCATTTATAATATTAACTTCTTAAACGATGGATCAAGTAATTCGTCAGTGGATTTAACCTAGGAGCCTTTGAGTCTTCTCCCCTGTCAATTTAAGGTAGACAACGCATCTGTTAATGTGAATATTTATGGACAGCGTTCACCCTATTTTGTTAAATTTAGGTTGTTTGTTTGTTTGTCGCCTTATAGTATAAAAATCATGCACAAATAAAAGACGCCCAAATAGTATCTTCGTAAAGTAAATTTTATATTTTACATAATATTACAATAATAAATTTTACATTAATTAATTAATTACTTTAAATAAAATATCAAATTAATTAAAAAAAAACATTATGCAAATAGTATAATTGAAAGATACATGGGAGTCATCGAATTATGCAAAGATAAAATAAAAAATGTCATAATCCTGTAACTGTTCAAAATTTGCGTAAATTAAAATGCATTGTATATATATATTTTATATGATAAGGTGGCAAACGAGCGAGCGGCCACCTGAAATCGCTGAAATAGCGAAGTGACCGTTGCCCATAGACATACGCAATTGCATATGCGTTGCCTTCCTTTAATCGACGGAGGAGAGGATGCACAGAAAGAAAATATCTTCCCTTCCTATGCATCCTCTCACCCGGAAAGTCTTCTTTCACTTCCCATCCTTTCCTTATAAGAAAACGGTGGGAAGGGAGACTAAATTAGGCCTTCGGGACGCACTCATCAGACTGCACGCGGAATTGCTTCCACTTGATGCCTGTCTTTTGTGTGATCGTGGTATTACACCGGGAGAGCCGGGACAATTCGTGCGAACATGCTAAAGCGGGCTCTATCACTGTTAAAGTGGTAATAACAAAGTAATTGTAATTATTAAGTTAATTATTTATCTTTCCAGGTGATGGAAAGCGCACACACAATATACCTAGTCACAGAATACGCCTCTAACGGGGAAATATTTGGTAAGTAACTTAAGATCGATTCACCAATATTATGACTTAAACCGCGTTTATGTTTTGCCAGTACAGTAAGACAGTAACGTTGTATTGGCATGTACTGTTTTAGTTCACTTGTAGTTACATTATGCCAGTTTTATGTCATCGATAATTTTGATTGCTACTGTCTTACTGTACTGGCATGATGTAAACAAGAAATAAAATTCGTCTTGGATTCATTGAAGTAAAAACAATTCTACGTTAATTTTCAGTACGGATTCGTTTTTGCAATCTACTTTAGTATTTAAATGTATTAAGACGTATTGACGTAATATTTCCAGACCATTTGGTATCAAAAGGCCGCATGCCGGAGTCGGAAGCGGCGCGCATCTTCGCCCAGATGGTTGCTGCGGTTGGGTACTGCCACTCGCGCGGCGTCGTACACCGCGATCTCAAAGCAGAGAATCTACTGCTGGATCGGGACATGAATATAAAGGTATTTCTTTTATCTTTGCAAGATTTCAAATGCAATCTTCTTAAAACTGTGTATAATTATTGCATGAGTAACTCAAAATCGAGCCTCGGAGCCTACCCTAAGTCTGGGTTGACTAGAGCATAGTCAACTACGCTGGCTCAATGCGGGTTGACTTCACACATATCTTTGAATTTCATCTCAGATATGTGCAGCATCACGATGCTTTCCTTCACCCTAAGATCGTCGGATAAATGTACATATGTAAAACGGAAATCTAAACAAGTCAAGGGCTTAACACCTGAGCCACCTACGCTCTTAGCGAGTGAGCTTCTGAGACCTAAACCTCTTTAAAAATTATTGTTATCTCTGTTTTTGTCAAAGTTAATGACAGAGATGCTGATATGTTTCATACGCAGATATTGGTCTCAGAAATTCACGATAAATGCATTAGTTGTTTCTGTAATCAAACTATGATTTCTTTGCATACAGTTGGCAGATTTTGGGTTTAGCAACGAATACAGTGCGGGTGCAACACTAGCCACGTGGTGCGGCAGTCCGCCCTACGCCGCGCCCGAACTCTTCGAGGGGCGACACTATAACGGCCCTAAAGTGGACATATGGGTATGTATGTACATATGTAACCTTTCTTACTATTAAAAATTTAAAAAATTACGCCAAATTTTACATCAAGAATTTTTTTTTACTTTTTTTTGACTGTCTAGTTTTTATATTATAAATATCTGGCTGTTGCTCGCGATTACGTTCGCTCGGAATTGAAAAAACTTACTAAATAGTCTATGTGTTCTTCCAGACTATGTTCTATAGCTATGCCAAATTTCAACGAGATCCCTTCAAGCTTTTTGAAGATACCTTGAAACAAACATCCATCCTTCTAGGCAAACATTCGCATTTATATTAGTAGTAAGATAAACGTAAGCCATACTTATTATAAGCTGGGTTTTCACGGAAATTCTTACGAATTTCTTTATCTCAATTTTGTACCCATCTTACTTCTTACGGATGGATGTTTGGTGTCATACATATAGAACATACTCTGGAAGAACACAAAGGTTACTAATTGTTTTTTTTTTTAATTCCGAGCGGACGGAGCTAATGGTGACAGTTTGTTACTTATATATCTTCAACAAAGTATATAAGTGTGTCTGCGCAGTCACTAGGCGTGGTGCTGTATGTGATGGTGTGCGGAGCCCTGCCCTTCGACGGCAGCACGCTCAGTGACCTGCGCAATGTCGTTCTCAGCGGGAAGTTCCGGATACCATACTTCATGTCTCAAGGTCAGTGGCTAACACTAACAATAACATATTAAACGTTGGTTTCTGACACCGAAATCTTTGACAAAACTGATATAATAGGTTTTATACTTGGATTTACGGCTCAGAAAGCCACAGTAAGTGTGGCAGGTAATATTCTTTGTTATCTGTATTTTTGTAATGAGTTCATATTATTGATTATAAATGGATAGGTCATTGCTTGCAAATGACAATTTTAGTTCTGACTTAAATAGACCTATTTAAGTGCCTGACAATTAATTCTAGTCAGTACCAATGGCAAGAATCAAATAGGCACAAAATACCAAGCTTTATAGCCTGTCTATCAATAGATCAGTGGTTTAGTAGAAATAGGTAGTTATTCAAAGCGACATGTTTCCAGAATGCGAGCACCTGATCCGGCACATGCTGGTGGTGGATCCGGAGAAGCGGCTGTCGCTGCGCGGTGTGGCGCGACATCGCTGGCTGGCCGCACATCAGCCCGGCCCCGGACCTGGCATGCCTGGTACTGATAACCTACTTTCAGGGGCTTGTTTTATTATTTCCGGCGCCCACTTTTTTGGTGCCGGCGAAATCTTCCGAAAATAGGGTATCTTAAGGGCAGCACGGGCGCTCTTAAGATTCCCGGCGCCGTGGCCGGTGGCCCCACCTCACCCTATACTAACGTGCCTACTTCGTACTTTTACATCTATCATATACACCATGAAATCATTTTTCTTGTCGATTTTTACTTACCATCCCTGGGTTTCTGAGACCAAAATTCCCTTTCAAAACATTTTACTATCTCTGTTGATCTCAGAATCCCACCATAAGTGAATTATGGATAATCGGTAGTACTGAATACTAAAAACCTTTTTTGCAAAAAAAAGAGTAGCCATGAACACAATTAGTATTATATTTTTATCAATGTAAAGTAATGTATCAACAGATGCGTCAGAGGGTGCGTGCACGTGTCACTCCGGCGTGGAGGAGGAGCCGGCGGCGGAGGGCGCGCATCATCACAAAGTGTTGGCGCACATGCAGGCGCTGCCGGGACTCACCGCAGACCTCGTGCTACAGGTAACACCCCCGCTCTCTTCGCTTCTGCCCTAATCCCATCCCCTCCCCTTCTCCTCTCCTCCCTCCATTTTCATCCCTTTCTCCCTTCCCCTTTCACCAAAAGCTTAGCAGTCACTTAAATATTTTGCTTTAGATTTAGAGAATATCAAAGATAATTTAAGAGTAATTGTTGTTCGCTGTGACACCCTTAGTATAGATTTAATGTGGGAAATCTTCTCTAAAGACTGTTTAAATAACAAAACGACTCTGTGGCTGTAAATATATGTAAAAAAATTACTTATTTACTTTCAGTCAGTGCAGGAGGAACGTTTCGACCACATATCAGCTATCTACAACTTGCTGCTGGACAAGCTGCGCCGGCGCACCACGCACAGGAACAGTATGCATAGAGGTATGTCACTATACTATCAATCTTAAACATAGCATATGATACTTATAGTCGGTTTCTAAGACCAAAATCTTTGAAAAAACAGAAATAACAATATGTTTTAAATGAAGAATTTGATCTCGGAAACCAACGATTAAATGATGAATTCTTTAGTGTCGTATGACGCACGTGACTCCGGCCGCGATGATTTAAAAAAAAATTATCGTAGCCTATGTGTTATTCCAGACTATATTCTACATCTATACCTAATTTCAGCGAGATCTACGTATCCAGCTGTTCTGGAAATACGTAATAACGTACATTCATCCATGCCTTTAAAATTTAATTTATAAAAAAAGTTTTAATAATGTTTACAGACTCGCTGGATTCTAACAGAAGTCAGCCGTTGGATCTCACTAGCTGTAAGGTAAATTACTTTTAAATACTAATTATCGCCCGCGACTTTGTCTAGCCTATGCCTTCTTTCAGACTATGTTCTACATCTATACTAAATTTCAGCGAGATCCATGGAGAAGTTCTAGAGATATCAAGTAACAAATATCCATCTCTCCATCTAAACATTTGCATTTATAATATTAGTATGATGTTAATGTATTACAGAACACAGAGGATGAACAAATGGAGGCAGAGGAGTGCAGCTCTCAGGAATGCCTCGTGTCAATACCCTGCGAGCCTGTCGACTACGTCATGGACAGAGACGATAACTTGGAGAAGGTGTGTACAGTTGCGGACATTTATTTCCTACCCATCTTAGTGAATATCAGTGTTCATGATACAGTTTGATTGAAATTTGCTGTAGCAATGATGATTATAAATATAATTGGTTTTAGTTTGGAGAGTGCGGCACTCCCGCGGCTGAGGAGCGGCCAGCCCCGCCCCCGCCATCCACGCGGCGACACACCGTCGGCCCCGGGGACTGTCGGCATGCACAGGTAACAAACTTAATAAGTATAGATGTTTACAAATATCTTACCAGCTCAGAAAATGTTTTGTGTAGCAATGCACAGATGACCTTGAGCCACCAAGATATTTGAAAGACGTATACGTATACATATAATAGTAAGGAATCATCATCTACCTATGTGTTAACTAGTAGAAAAAGCATTCAACTCGATTTTTAATTTATTTTTTTACATTGTACGCTCAGCCCAGCGAGTTGTCGGGATGCGGTGCGGCGTCTGCGGACCTCCGCCCCGCCCCGCTCTGCGTGTCCGCACACTTCAATGTTAGTAACTTGATATTTTTTAAATATTATATACATTTATCATATATTCTTACGATAAAGGAAAACATCATGATGCTGCACATGTCTCAGAAATTCAAAGATATGTATGAAATCAAAACGAACTGAGCCAGCATTGACTAACTTAGTGTAGGCTCCGAACTCCGTGGGGTCGTATATTGAGCTGATGGTGACGATGATTGTAACGTTACAAATCAAAAGAGTAAACCAATTTAGACGAGTGAGGAATCGATTTCGAGTGAATTCGATTCGTATTTTTCCCATGAATAACGACAGCTGGTTGTTTTTTTTTTAGTTTTTGAATTAACTAATAGTATTATATTTTGACAACAGCAACAAGCATCACCTAACGTATCCCTGCTGCCGAACACCAACCTGGCGGCCAAGCTGCCGGCGGTGCAGCACCAGCCGCCTCGATACTTCAGCGTCAAGGACCAGCATCTGCTCAAGCCGCCGCATGCCATGCAGACACATGGTAAATACATACATACATGACACGTCATCGTTACTTTTAGACAATATTAGTTAGAATTCTTTGGCGTGAATGACGTGCTTTCTTTACAAAATGAAGTGTCAGAATAATTAGTGAGGGGACATAAACATCGACATTTTAGTAAGACTAGTGTTGCGCCAGTACACCGGCATAGTGTCGGATTTTCTTCCTAATATTATTAAACGACTATCAACCAGATTTCTATTTATATAAGAATTAGCTGTCACCCGCGACTCCGTCTGCGCAGAACTAAAAAACATAATTAGTAGTCTATGTGTTCTTTCAGACTATGTTCTATATGTATGCCAAATTTCATGCGAGATCCATTCAGCCGTTCTGGAGATAACTTCAAACAAATATCCATCCATCCATCTATCTAGATATTCGCATGTATATTATTAGTAAGATAAGATGTTTGTATGATGTGCAGCGTCGTCGTTTGGTCGTCGTGCGTCAGACGGCGGAGCGCACGTGCCGCGCGGTGCTGAGCGCGCCTGCTGCCGCTCCGCACCAGCACATCATGTACGTACACAATAACACCAAATCCTATACAAATACTTAACTAAATATTTTTATATTATAATGTATTAAACGAGCGGTTGTCTGAATTCAATGGAATAACGAATTAATCCTTGCTCATAGACATTCGCAATTTCAGATGCGTTGCTTACATTAATTTGAGGGTATAGGAGGCACAGACAGAGAATTTTTCTCTACTTGTGCGTCTCCTCCTTTGTCAAATTTCCCCTTCCCATCCTTTCCTTATAAGAAAACTTTTAGAAGGAAGGGATGAATAAAATTGGACATCTGGAAGGCACACATGTCAGACTATACGCGAAATTGCTTTTACTTAGCGCGTGTCTTATATATGGTCGTGGTATTCAATTTATAATATATTTAATATTATCAAGAAGCGAGCATACCATTTCCTTAAAGACCGGCAACGCATCTGCAGTTCCTCTGGTGTTGCAGATGTCGATGTGTCGTTGATCACCTCGGTGTTACCGCCGCTCGTTTGCCCCCTTCTCTTATAAAAAAATCTACTTAATTAAATTACATAGTAATTTCAAAGGTCTTACTGATCTCTGTATGTCCCAGGTATCAGACAGCGGCACACCAGCGCGGCAGGAGGACGTCGAGCGCACGGAGGACCAGCCCACTGACTCTCTCTACAACACCAACTTGTCTAGGTAACAATAACAAGAATATATATATTTTCGTCTCTTTTTTATCAAAAACAATGTAAAGGATGACAATATCAATGAAATAAGCAAAAACAGTCTAATAAGCGCCTCGGTGGCTCAGGGGTTAAGCATTTGACTTGTAATCTGTAGATCTTAGGTTCGAATCCCGCCATATATCAATGTGTGTTTCTATTTCCGATTTACATTTGTACATTTATCCGAGGTTCTTACGGTAAACGAAAAACATCGTGATGCATCCTGCACATATCTGAGAAATTCAAAGATATGTGTGAAGTCAACCTGCACTGATCCAGCTTTGACTATGGCCTAGTTACCTCTAAGTTAGGGTAGGCTCTGAACACTTCAGTGGGGACGTATATTGAGCTGATGATGACAAATTACTTTCCATAATTGTTAGTTTTTAAATAGGTAACAAAAAAAATCTATGGTATGTGTATATGTATGTATTTGAATGTATGGATGTATTGTTTTAGATACATGCAGAGTCGTGGCAGCAGCAAGCGACATACAATAGTGACGGCAGAGGACGCCGCTAACGTCGTCACCTCCACCTCCTGTATAGGACCTATGGTAACATATCTTTATATATATAATTCTTCTGTGAGTGTGTATGTCACTGAACTTCTCTCAAACGACTGGAGCGATTTTGATGAAATTTTTTGTGTGTGTTCAAGGGGATCTGGGAATGCTTTAGATTCACAATTTTGTCCGCTGGACAATGTTTTTTTAATTAATTTTTAATTTATTAGTAGTTGTTGATTTTGGAATGTTTTACATTGGATCCGACAGACGGCGCTACCATGGCAGTGTCAAATTTTAAATAATATTCGAATTAAAGACGTGTAGACAGGACAACGTCTGTCGGGTCCGCTAGTATATATATAATAATGTCTGTATGTATGTAATATAGAAAAAAAAGATATTTTATAACATGATGTATTTGTGTTACTTATAATGAAAATCCAATTTTTAATATTTTTGTCTGTCTGTTTAAAATGGCCGCATTTGTTCCGGTTAATCCCCGGAATGTCTAGACTTATTTTGTCGACCAAGTCGCGGGTTACTGCTAGTCAAATATGAACTGAAACTATATAACATAATTTTAATATCTTTATAATTACTTTCAATATCAGATTATTATATCGAGTATAGAATACTAGCTGTGGCCCGCGACACCGTCCGAGTGAATCAAAAAATAACTTAATTAGTTGCCTATATATACTTCTAGAATATATTTTACATATATCCTAAATTTCATCAAGATCCATGCAGACATTCCGGAGATACCTTCTGACAAACATCCATCTAAACATTCGCATTTATAATATTAGTAAGATAATGTCAAAAATATATGTCGTATGTTTGTCTCTGTCTTACATATATGTTTCCCAACAGACGAGCACCTCTCCCTCTTCAACAGCCAACATCAGAATGAGACGGACAGGTCTCCTCACTGTCACGGAACGACCGCCCGGTGAGTGTTTCATTTTACGCTGAGTTTTCATTGCTAAAACATATTGTGATATGTTTTTAAACATATGTAAATGCAAACGTCTTCAGTTTGAGTGTTGTAGTATTAGTTGTTGTGAATAATTTTTGTATACGATGTTATTTTTAAATTAAAAAATTGTTCGGTGATTTTTTTTTATATTTTAATATTTGTAAAAGAATCATCGTTATGCAAAAGTTGTTTTGTAGTTGTAATATAATAGCTTGTATCTTTTGTTATTGGAGTCTTCAAATTATTCAGATTCCAGTGTAGGTTTACACTAATCCAGTCGTAATCCAGCATTACGATTGCAGGACTGGAATAGTGTAAACCGGTGTAGTAATTTGGAAAGTTTTTTTTAAGAACAAATATATTTAAGTTTTGTCGTAATTCTTTGTTGTAATTTGAAGACTCGTGTTTTTTTAGGTATCAAATGTTTTTTTTTTAATTTTTAATAAACACAAGTTTTGATATTTTTCGTTGTATGCATTCAGTAGTTGCATGTTGTTTTATTAATTTGCATTTTTTTTTAATTGCTAATTTTTTATTTTTTTTTCTATCACAATTCTTTTAGTTATAAGTCCAGAGCTGGTTATGGAAGTTGAGCGGCGAATGAACAGGAATTATTTACCACCTTCGATACAAGGTGGTTACCAATACCAAAACCAATCAGGGTACCAAAGTCCACCAACTGGTACGAACCCGACACAAAGCGTACCGCAAACTCCCGCACAGGGTTCGATTACAGCTGGTACACCGAACTATTCGAACCAAACTCAGAGTAACCAGAAAATGATACCTTCCTTGGAAACGATACCACAAGGCAGTATGATAGGGAGAAAGGGGTCAATTGTGTCCGGTACGCCGGTTACCAATCAAGCCGCTTCTCCCTACACTCCTCCAAATGGACCATTCTCCCCCAACCACGGCTCACTAGCACAAAACAATCAAAATACAATAATAACCGAAAACCCCAACACTACTCCGAAATTCGATACATTTAACAATGATTATAATTTCATGAATAATGTAATAAGATTTTTAAACAATACAAATGTGACATCAAATTTCTCAAATAACTTCGGTTCGATAACAAGTGGTACGCCAATGGCGTACCAAAACCAGAATGTGACAGGATCGATCACAAGCGGTACGCCAATCGGAAATTACCAGAGTCAAAGTATGGGTTCTATTAGTTGCGGTCAAACGCAATCGATTAGTGGGTCCGGTACGTCCGGGTCTGTGAGCGGGTCCGGTATACCCAGCGGGTCTATAACAGCCGGTACGCCGTGCCAAGTGCAGCCGACGCCGGGTGCCGCGTATAATCAAACGCAATACAACAGACAACGCAAGTACTCCGGACCTCAAAGGGTCAAACTACAAATGTTAGCTACCGTACAGGAAATGGGTAATTTTTTATTTTGTTTTTTTTTTTTTTTAATTTTGACTTTTGAATTTAAGAAAGAGGTTTGTTAATTACTAAAATTGTGTGCATGTGATTATTTTGCTGTAATATTTTGGCTCAGTGTTTGCAATAGTTTGTTTGTGTGTGTATTTAACACGTCTTAGTTATTAATAGAACAATGTTATATATTTTAAAATTGGTAGTAATTGGTCCTTAAAGCCGGATAAATTTGCCAGAAAAAAACAACAATTAGTCTTATTTGCAAATGTATTTGAGTTTGTATCTCTACATCATTTTTGTACTCTTTTTATATATTTTAGTAAAAAAAATCACTTTCACACTTTCCGTTGAGCTTCAAAAAGCTTTAAAAGACCTTTGTTTTATAATAACTTTATTTAATTATATTATTATTTAAGAATTTGTAACAATTGTCAGCGCGAGAGCACGCGGAACGTTACTCCCCCGTACGACGTGCTGAGAGCTCCCCCCCGCGCGCCGCACACGACCTCGCCTCCGCCCGCCTCGAGTACCAGCAGCTACAGGTACGTTTGCAGCAGCCTTTATCTCACTCCTTACTGATATTAACTACAGTATATAAAACTAAATTTTTATGTGTACTTCAAAGGATATGTTTTTGTGTAGTTTAAAATGATTCTATGATTGTACACAGCGCGGCCTGGAACGAAGAAGTGGTGCGGCCGCGGCCGGCGCCTCCCCTCCCCGCCCCGACAGCCGTCTGCACACACCCAACACATCTGTGCCTGGTAATATTACTACTACAACTTAGCTTAATGATTAACAAGACTATATTAATAGATTGTTTAAAAAAAATAAAAAAATCCATCATCTCTATATATTTTAAAAATAACTAGGTCTGTACACGTGTCGCTTTTATGCATTTAATTGATTTAAATATATCCGGACCAGGTTCCCCGCGACACTGCGGCGCCCCGCCCCCGCTGGACCTGAGCGTGCTCAGCGTGGAGGCGGCGCGCGCCGTGCTGTGTGCTGCTCGCGCTCTGCCCGACACCGCCGCCGCAGACCTCCCGCGCACTCTACTCCTTACACAGGTACCATTATAAACACATACAAACATTATCACAGAATTTCGAAGTAAACTTTCAAATGTCTCACGGAATTATTTTATTCCCAGGACCTGGCTCTGAAAATGGGAATCAACCTGCACAACCTATGCTCGCCCCATGTGAACATATCTCAGGAGATAGTGCAGGCGCTGCACGCGCACGGACTGGCACTGCTGCCGGGCCACGTGTCCCCCGCCAGCCCCGGCTCACCGCTGCACCAGATCACGGAGGGCCTCAGCTACCTGCACACCGGCTCCATCACGCGCGGCACCCCCCAGCCGACCGCCACGCCCCTCGACCTGCGCAGCAACCTCGACGTGGACCCCGCCCAGTACCCCCAGCTGCACCCCATGGTGCACCCCCAGATACACATGGTCACCCACCGCTCCCTCAACAACTCCCCCATATCCAACCCCGGCTCGCCCCTCGACATGATACAGGAGGAGATCGGCAACGGGAGTCACAACGGCGACACCAAAATTTTCACTCACGAAATGAGAAACATCCAGTTTCCGAGCTACGTGTCCAGTCATCCGCAGATCAGTTTGACCGACTGTCTGGGCTCGGAGATCACCTTGGTCGCCTCCTCCTCGGAGGACAGCGTCGATAGTTTGGAGAACGCCAAGTACCCTCTGCCGCAGTTCGTGATATCGGAGCCCTCCGACCTGGACCACCGACCCTCGATCACCAAGGGGATCGGGAGAAAGGTGAGCCAGGAGAACGAACCGTCGCAGAGGGAGGTGCCCAAAGATCTGGAATTGCACCTGGATAAAGATACGGAGATGCATTCCCCCAAGGAGAGCGTAGACGAGACCAATCGGTTTCTCACGGAAGACTTGACGTATTTGAGACGAGGCAGCGACAAGTCTCTGGGCTTCAGTGATGACTCCCTAAGCAATGACTCCGCGAACGCGTCTCCCAACTGCGAGCAGAACATACAGTCAATATACTCGAATATCATATCAGTTAGTTCAGGATTTAGTGAAAACCGGGGAAGTTTTTCGGAGCACAGGGAATCATTCTCCTTTTCGGATAGGGGAAGTTTCTCTGAACGGGGAGACTTTGGCAGATCTTCCTTCTCAGAACGGAGTGACTTTGGTAGAGGAAGCTTTTCAGAAAAGGGGGAAACTCCTCGATCATCTTTCTCCGCTCAAGGAGTACTCGGGGAGGTGAAAGAGTACAATGAGGATGTGTGCATGCCGCGTGATAGTAGTAGATACTTTGATAAATGCGAAGACCAACCTCGGCAGGAGGAGATCGAGAAGCTGCAGAGGTCTACTATGGATCTACGTTTGACGGAGATCTGCAGACCAGAGGAGCAGAGAATACCAATATTATTGAGTCCTCAAGAGATTTCCTGCTTTCAAGAGTACATAGAAGTCGCACTATCTACAGTTTGTTCTCAACTTGACTCACATCGGATAGTAGAATTACTAAAGGAGACAATAAATACGAGAGTTCCACCTCAGAACATCTTCATTGAAACTGGAGATCAGAAAGAGAAGCATAATGATACAGAAGCATTAACCGGTTTCCTAAATCTGGAATATTCCGGTGGAATCCAGATTGAACTGATTATATGCGAGAATAAAGCAAAAGAAAAGAAAGGATTAAAAATGAGACGGATTTCTGGTGATCAGAGAGAGTATGGGAAACTTTGCCAGCAATTAATCACCAGTTTGACTGTTTAATTGTCAACTATGAGTTTCCACTGCCGAAATACTTGTATAGAAACATATTATCGTCTCTTTTCTTCATATTGAATAAGACAGAGATGTTTACATACAAGTATTGTGGAATTTCTCAGTTTAAATATCATTAAGATCCAATTGTTATAAATGTTGGAATCTAAGTCCAAAATGTACAAGCAATTTTAATACTTAAGTGAAAGGATAAAGAATCTATATTCGTATAGATAAATTTTTAATATCATTTTTATTCCAATATGTCGTTGAAATTTGTGATAATTATTGTTTGATTTGCATTTATGCGATTTGTTATTTTGTATGCGTTGTAAGCGATGACGTCATACTGTGGCTTGAGCGGGAAAATATCTATTTTACACATATTTAAAAAAAGAACGAAAGAATAAAAAACCTCGTAATTAAAAAGAAAAAAAAACATTTAAAAATAGAACATGGCTGTTATATTTTAAAACAATACGTAAAAATTTTTTTTTTTTAAATCTGCAAATAAAATATTCCTTTTAAATTAAAAAATCCTGAAATTTTGTTTAAAAAAAGTACAGATAACAGTCAGATTTTATTTCTATTTGAGAATGACGTCACTATTTGAAATGTGCACATTTTATATAAAAATTACTAGAAAAGATATTCCTTGATTTACTTCACAATCAAATTAAATGCCATATATATTGTACGATGTACAATTATAATTTTAAGTATAACAAGGGACTCCATACTAACATACTCAGAATCATTAATCGGTCACTAATGAGACTCTGAGTGTGGCAGTTCTGGACATGTACAGCTTATTTACCAATGTTAATTATAATTATTTGTATATTATGTTTTTAAGCCCCCTACGAACATTTATTATTTATTCCACAATGTTTAATTAGTTTTTAAGTTTCTTTTAAGGCTTTGTAAATATTTTTTTTAACTCTAGATAAGTATATTTAAGTTTTTGTATATAATTAGTTATAAATGGATCGTGCCTTGACGGCAGGTCGTGAAGCGCCGGATGTGAGATGTATGGAGTGTATGGACGCTTTCGCGCGGGCGCGTAGCGGTACATAGCGTTGAATAGTTTACATTTGTATTTGTATGAAGGAACATATACACATAATATATATATAGTTAACTGAGAACCTCCTTCTAAAGTTGGTTAACAAAAAAAATCGTGATGCTTTTAAAGTACAGTATTTTTCATATATCTTGGCGGCTCTAAACTTTGCTCGAGTCGTTGCGGAGGTTTTACCATGCATGGAGAAGGAATGACCTTGGACAGCCAAGATATATGGGATTAATTATACTAAATTTTAAAATATCTATTTGACATCTTGAAGTAAAGAATTTTGACCATTATACATAAGTACGAGTAAAATTAAAATGTAGATTGGAAATATGCGATTGAATTTAAAAATATATATATATTTGCCACGAAATAAACGTAAGTAGTCTTTCCCTACGCTGGTACGTATAGGAAATACTTTTTATCTGTGTATATGTTACTTTATATTGTCGTTTCCAGCACGATGGTGTGTCAGTGTTGTGATATTCGTATAATCCGACAAAATTATTTGACCCGGTGGCCGTAAGTGGTAGTAAATTCTAACAAAATAAAGAGGCGCTGCTATCGTGGTTTGTACTGGCAGAATATAAAACCTACACACGATATGACATTAAAGAAAAAAGAACATAAGTGAGGACAGGATTGTAAGCTTTGATCTCTATAAATAGACTAGGTGTCGCCTGCGACTCCGTCCGCGCGTAATAAATAAACTATTGGTCGCAACGTAATGTTATATAGCCTAAAGCCTTCCTCTATAAATTGACTATGCAACAAATAAATAAATTTCCAAATCGAACCAGTAGTTCCTAAAATTAGCGTGTTTAAACAAACTCTTCCGCTTTATAATATTATATATAGATAGGCGATTGCTTAGAAATGACAGCTTTTAAACTTCAGATTTACGTGCGCCTTTTGTTACTTGACAGTTAATTCTGATTAGAATATTATTCGCGAAAATGGCAAAATTCAAATAGGCACAAAAAACCACGTCTTATAGCCAGTCCATTTATAGAGGTCAGTGATCTTGAGACACGTTTTTTATATCGAAAGGAGGGCGCTAGTGTGCTATCATAATTTAATTAGACTGCCCACAATAAGTTTGTCTCAAGCTGTCTTGTGTATTATTTTCTATGTGTTTTTAAGACCCAACCAACATAGTAGCTCACACCGGGTCAGTTTTGTCGGAATATAGTTTGTCGACTCGCGTTTGTATGCGCTTGCTGTTGCGTCTTTTGTGTGATTTACAGATTTACATGACGGAGACTGATTTAAATTTTAATGTTCTGTTAAAACGTTAAATCTTAAAACAAAACGACCGATCTCTTTAGTTATGTCAGATATTTTACATACAAAATACAAAGATATGTTTTTACAGAATAAATATAATATTTTATTAAGAAATTATTGACATACTATTCATCTGTGATAGAAAGAGATAACAATATGGGTAATGCTTTCAAATTACGAACGTCAGTCTCCGTCACACAATTGTGAACCTTACGCAAAACGCATAGGGTAGATAATCTACTGTATTGCCATAAGATCGCCGTGTTATCAATTTAAAAATATCATGTAAATAATATTTTAATAAATAATTCCAATTCCAATATGTTAATGATTTTGTTTTATTACATACTAGATGTCGCCCGCGACTCCGTACGTGCTAAATTAAAAAAACATAGTAGCTTATGTGCTCTTCAAGAATATTCTACATCTATGCCAAATTTGAAGCGAAATCCATACAAACCTTCTAAAATCATTTTAACAGTGGTAGAGCCCGCTTTAAAATCTTCGTATGAATTGTCCCGGCTCGTCCGGTGAAATACCACGACCACACAGAAGACAGGCGTCAAGTGGAAGCTATTCTGCGTGCAGTCTGATGAGTGTGCGGAGGCCTAATTTAGTCCTTTCCCTTCCCACCCTTTTTCTTATAAGGAAAGGATGGGAAGTAGAAGTGAACTTTCCGGATGAGAGGATGCATGGAAAGGGAAAATATTTTTTTTCTATGTATCATCTCCTCTGTCGATTAAAGGTAGGGAACGTATATGCAATTGCGTATGTCTATGGGCAACGGGCACTTCGCTATTTCAGCGATTTCAGGTGGCCGCTGGCTTGTTTGCCACCTTGTGATATAAAAAAAAACATCCATCTATCTAAACATTCGCATTTATAATATGAATAAAATTTTACGGACAATACAAATACTTAGCACAGAAGAGTATCACAAACCTTTGAAATATCAGAGAACATTTGTGGCCACTTATAAAAATGAATAAAAACACATTTGTCAAGCGACTTTTTTAATTATTGCTTATTAAAATAAAATACAATTTATGTTGTAGTGGTTCCTGCGACGGTTGTACTTTGTCCGTCACCTAAAATTTAAAAAGTAAAAACTGTACAAATATATTCAAAAATAAAACCATTTAAAAATTAAAAAAATCGTCTAAACAATGTCACTATCACGCCCTCGTGTGAAAATAGCTTCAAGTTTGGTATAAAATAAATCAAATATGTAAGCCGCTCGGAACATCGAAAGAGTCGCTGCGTAACACAATGTTAGGCGTAAGTCCACTACGCATAGATGACATTTCGTCCTACAAAAAAAATGTGCAGATAATTAATGTGTTTTTATATTCGACCTGTTCCAGTGTTGCCAGATGCCCCGGAACCTGCATCAGCTGTTGTACTTTTAGTCGACATCGGCTTCCACATTCTGAAATTATAATGAACATTAACTCAATACGAGCTATTAGTGTTCGACCAAAAGAAATTCGCAAATCGAAAAATATTAGTACATAGCGGGAATCGAACATTGTACTTGGAAGACAAGTCCAATGCTTAATCACTTAGCCCCGGATCTACAATTTTGTAGGCGGGGCAAAAACTGAAAAGAAACTCAAGTAGAATAGAGATTTTATTATCCTTTTATGTTGATTCTATGATGAAAGTTTGGTAAATAAACACTTTCGATATATCTGTAAACTGAGAATTTTGCCAACCCGGACATTGACCCCAGCTTGCCCCCCCCCCCTCAACCCCTCCAGATCCGGGGCTGTAACCACTGCGCCACCGACTATTCACCAAATATGTAATAATTAGTTAAACTTACATGACCTTCTTAGATGTTGGTATATACCTCGCAGCTATGGCTCTAGCTTCCAATATCTCTCTGTAACTCAAAGCAGGGTCGTTACAGTTCAATCTACATATATAAAAATCAATTGGTGTTCGTTAGTCTCGCTAAAACTCGAGAACGGCTGAATCTTATATTGGTCTTAAAGTGTTCGTGGATACCTAGGGAAGGTTCAAAAGGTGAGAACAGTTCGAATAATTGTCGGGAACTATTTAAGCTTTGTTCATTCCGACGGAGTCGCGGGCGACAGCTAGTATTAAATATATTAGTTAAAGCTATAAAAATAACTTAGTAACACATAACTCAAGAAAAGTAAGAATATTTGTAGAAAACTACGCAAATAGTTCGAAATCACAATTTATTAAAGTTTATTTGGGTCAGTATCATGGGCGACGCTGAAATCTAATTTGTCGTAATAACAATAGATGGCGCTATAAGTATGAAAATTGTAACAAGAGCAAAATAGGAAAAATACTTGAGCAACTTGACGCTGATCTGTGCGGAGGGTAACCGCGCCTCCGTGGGGTTGGAAACCACGATGATGGATTCATCCGTGATCTCCCCGGGGGCCCATGGCTCCTCCTCGCCATTGAACTCGTTTGACCCCACGTCGTAGTAGAAATCATTTGGGTGATCCTAGCAACACTTTAGTGTTTAAAGGGCTTATATCGTTTGTTACACATGTAGTGTCTTATACTTGTAATACAAAAATATCGAGTTTTTGGGGGAATGGAATGATGATCTTTTAAAAAATAAAGAAATCCATATATTATGTACATAGATTTGATTAAGACTTAAAAAGATGTAACATTAGTATAGTAGTATTCAGATATCTTAGCGACACTTAATTTCGCCCGAGTCGTGGCGCAGAACACTATTTAAAGCGTAGCGATATCCGAAGGGATGGCACTGTGCGGCGCGCCAATGACGTTGGGCTGCCAAGATATTTGAAAAGAACTATACTACTTAAACAACTTACCAGCGCCAGACTGGGGAAAGCGAGAAATGTATCCGCAAACTTCATGAACCGTCTGCGCGGCATGGACCTGCGCAGGTAACCTAGCACAGGCCGCGCAACACCGCGCTGGAGCAGCGATAGCAAACGCAGAACGTTCTCCAAGTTCCAGCCAGCCGCGTCCCTGTAGCCCGCAGGAGCGCGGATGATAGACGCTGCAACACGTTTAAAATGTAACCTAACAATTCTTTAGGTCCATTACAATACTTGCTTCAAAAACTTAACAAAATTTAAAGATAAAAAACCATTACGATATAACTTTAAATTAATTGAAAATCCTTATGTATAATTTAAGAAGCTATCTTATTATTTTTTCCGAATCTTTGTCTTTGCGATTCAATACAATTACCATTAAAAAATGCTTACCCTTGACCTTGATCGGTGGCAATTCCTTTAGCTCATTGAAGAGTTTATTCTTGTGATAATGCACTAAACGGTCCAGCCAACCGCCACGCTCGATGTTAACGCCCAAAGATGTCGACACGCATAGTAATAGGACACTGTTCTAAATCACAAAGAAAAATATTACTTGTTCAAAACAAATTAATCTTTCAGTTATTGTCGTTTAAAATATTATAAACAAATTAATTTACCACAGAGAACATTTTGGTGTTGGAAACTCAAAACATTGTTTAATTTTTGTATTCCCATAAAAAGGCTATTAAACATTTTAATTAGGTTTGTACTAAATTGTAATTAACTGTTTAAAGAGGTGTAAAATGGTTATTTTCCATAGTGTTACAACATAAACATGAAACTAACTTAGTTATTAACACTTTATTTGGATGAATTATCTTTCTCCAAATAGTTAGAACATCGAAAATATCAGTAATACTAGTGCTGCCATCTATCAAGTTGAAAAAGTACTTATTGTGTTTCAACCAACCACAGGGTATTTCCTTACATTTTTACTTCGAGTTCCCGTCGATACCCAGACCGCCAAAAAATTTTGCAATTAGGTGCCTTCTTTAGAGAACGTGAATTTAACAGGGAAGGGGATAGAAATAAAAGGGAATTTTTCTGTTCTTTCCCCACTGTAACACAGTGGGCATCCATAGTTTAATATCAGGTTTCTTTGTTTCGAAGGTCTTTTTTTTATATCATAAGGTGGCAATCGAGCGAGCGGCCACCTGAAATCGCTGAAATAACGAAGTGACCATTGCCCATAGACATACGCAATTGCATATGTGTTGCCTACCTTAAAATGTCTTACTTTAAAATGTGTCTTTATTTTTAATAAATAAAACCATTAAATTTATTCTATAAATTTATTTAAGTTTTAAGCCCACATTGTTTTTTTCATAGTTAGTCCTGTGCCTAAATACATTGTTCCTGTCAGAGAGGACTCTCTCCGATTGTCTTTTAAGGCTTGTTCTTCCAGATCCTATAAAAAGTTATCTAGATTTAAAATATTATTTTTTAATAATTGCCTATGTAATTAGTAATTATGTTAACAGTTTAATCTTTGAATTTACATTTTTGTGGTTGATGGTGTGAATCTTGCAGCTTTGGCCCTCGCCTCCATTGTCTCTCTGCAAATGAATAACACTATTAATATTGGCATTTAGCACCAAATAAAAAAATAGTGGCTGTCAAAATGAATCTACAAAAAACATGTCATCTCTTTCACTCTCTTTGAAAAAGAAGAGATAATGGTTTTATGCAGCTAACATTAGTAGACACCAGCACCCCTAGTTTTGTTCTCTTTCTCTTCCTACCCTTTTCTTATGAAGGATGCATACCAACAGAAAATGTATTTGACAGAGGAGAGGATGCATAAGTAGGGGAAATACCCATTTTCTGTGTCCTATCCTTCATCAATCAAAGGTAGGCAACACATCTGTGGTCACTTCTCTGTTTTGGAAAATTCAGTTAGCCACTTGCTGATTTGCTACATTATGATATAAAAAAATGTAGCTGCTATATTTATGTTTATTCTATTCAGTGTCCAATGTGATTTTTATTTTTTTAAAACTATAGTATTACTACAAGCACCTGAGCAATTTAACACTGATTGTGTCCGCAGGCAGGCGTGCTTCTGATGGATTGGTGATGACAATGACAGAGTTGTCTGCATTCTGACCAGAGTTCCATGGTGGCTCTTGCTCATTGTTCTGTACCACATCCGTGTCATAGTAGAAATTGTTTGCATGACCCTGGGGAAGAAGACAAGTTGTAAAACATATTTATAAATTATGATATGTTTTATTAAAAAAGCTAATTTATCATAAAATAAGTAAACAATCATCGCTGATTTCAATAAATACTAAAACTATATTATATATTTATTTATTTATATTGAAAAAGTTCAATGTTTATCTATGAAGATCTACAGAAGCCATGTCAGATCATTATTAGGATACTTACCTCACAATAAAGATATTAATTATCATAAAAAAGATTTATAATGCTAGGAAAAAAAATACACTAAGATAAGGGGTAAAAAATTATTTTTATTTTGGTATATAAGCTCTTTCGATTTTAACATCATCAACAGGACAGTCATTTTTGTCACACTCCACTAAGCCTATTCGTTTGACAACAGGCATACCGCCCTGCACTCTCCCGAATATTGTGTGTTTGCCATCTAACCACTGTGTAGGAGCTAATGTTATAAAGAATTGAGATCCATTGGTAGAAGGTCCAGCATTTGCCATAGACAAAATTCCAGCTCCAGTATGTTTCAGATCATTCGTTATCTCATCATCGAACGTCGGACCATAAATCGATTGACCACCTTTCCCCGTTCCCGTAGGATCTCCGCCTTGTATCATAAAATCTCTTATAACTCTATGGAATTTCGTGTTATTGTAATAACCTCTTCGTACTAGTTCCATGAAGTTTCTGCACGTATTTGGTGAATGTTTCCAATACATTTCGACTATTATTGTGCCCATTGTAGTCTCTAGGACCGCCACCGGTGGCTGCCAGGATTTATCAGGAATTCCGACATTGGAGTACCCCAACATTATGTAAAATCTGTCTCTTAGGGAAATTGCTGAACTATTTGTTACTTTAAACTATACTATTACTATTTAAATATACTTTAATACTTATGAACACTTAAAACAACAACAAAACATAACCTATCAAATCACGCACTTTTGACATTTGTAATTGTCAAAGTTTTTAATTTTTTATAGAGTGGGAGAGTGGGAGTGAGATATAAAATCGATTTTATTAATGGTGAGATTCTTTTCGATTTGTACATTAAAAACAAATTAAAATAGCTTTCATATTAAAATGTACTCGAATTTCTAAATGTAGCAATAAATCAAATAAAGCATAAAGCAATCTATTATCGCATTGGCGCGTCAAATATGGGCTTAAATTTTAATGTACTACTCATTTATAATATACGTTATTTAAAGGTAAAAGAGTACTTACTTGAGATATGCTTGGGAAAGCTTTTAATGAATCTGCATAATTCATAAACCGACGTCCAGGCATGATGTTCTGTTGGTGTTGAACTACGGTGTCTGCTTTTTGACTTTGGCGTAACATAGAAGTTAAACGTAATACTGATTCAACATCCCAAGCGGCGGAGTCTGCATAACTATCCGGCGCTCTTTCAATTGAGGCTAAAATATTCTTATTATTCTATAATTTCATTCCCTAAAACTATTCTTTATACAGTGTTTTGTTTCTACCTTACCTCTAATGCGTACAGCAGGCACATATGTTAACTCGTCATGGAAATCTTTTTTATTTTTGTGAGCCAGGCAACCCCTCAATAGAAGAGTGATACAGACAATAAAAACAGTGGTGCATAACATGAAGATGCTCTTCTGTTTTATTGGGAAAATCATCACATACCTTCCTTACTACTCGTAGGCTCTGAAATTTTCTAGGTTTTAACTTGAGGCATCTCATATTTAGGCTAGGCTTTGATCTCAAAAGGTAAACCAAGATCTGCTATATGTTCTTGTGAATTAATTTAGAGATTTTTTTGTACAAGTAGATCATTCGAACTGATTAGATCAGGGTACACACATTTTGCATCTCCCGAATTTTGAGCATTTTATTTATTTTAATATTCTCTATAAACATAATATTTTAACATTTGCACTTACTCTGAACATATTTTTGAAACAAAGAAAAAAACTAATCTTTTTACACAGTAAGCGATATTAATTACGTGTGAAATTAAAATTTTACGGTGCTTTTAATTAACATTTTCTATTTTTTAACAAATTTTGTAAATTGTTATTGAAAATTAGAATGCTTTTAATGCCTGAAACAAATCGAAACTCACATTTATTTCTATATAATCCTCTGATAACATCCAATGCCCATTTTATAGCGGAATTTATGAATATATGTCTTTATATATGAAGTGGATTCTATGCAATTTACAACCTTCTAATAAACTCACTTTATTTAATTAAAAAGAACCGTTCGATTGAATAAAGTGATGGCAATATCTACTTCTCGGGATAAGTATTAAAATTCGTAATCGACATCTCTAGTTGAATGTCAAATTGTATTTACGTCAACTTAAAAAAATTGACACAATGACATGACACTGACACTATTATATGACTTATGTTTAGAGGACGTGTCGATTAATGTGTAAAATAAAATTTAAATAGATCTTTAAAAATTATTTACATATTGTCTTTAATGAGGCATTCTATAGCAGTGCAGTCGTGTAATTTAATTCTATTAACATACAATCTTTAATATTATAACGAAACAGTTTTCATTCGATACACCTTGACCGTAAACAAAGACATTTTTTGGATAAATAACAATGAATGTGTTGGTTGTAAGGTGTAAATGTGTATGAGGGTTGGAGTTTTGAACTTGTCAAGGATTTTAATGCGAGGGAAGTGTTTCAAGATGACCGGGGTGAGCAGGGACGCGCCGATCGGTATCCAATGTTTACAAAAACTTAGCGGTTGGCTTTGTCCGCGGATGCAAATCAACAGGTTAAGATGGTGAGAAAATAACTTATTTACAATTTAAATAAATGTAAAATGATTTATAAATTTACAGTTAACAATAAAGTTAACAATATAAAATATTTAGTTACAAATTTATGCATTAGCCTTGTTCCTAATCATAGCAGTGTACTATATGACATTGAAGTAATATGGATATGCGTTTAGAGATTGCACTGACGTGCTCAAAATGTTTATAGACTTATGTTTTATTTGATGAAGCCCAAAAAGAATTTTTACAAGTATTACTATGCGTATTATATATAAGTATATATTTTTAAATATTTAAATTTTACATCTATTTTAATTCTAATATAATAAATTCTTCTTATGAATTATTATTGATATTATAAATGCGTATGGTTGGATAAACAGATGGATGGATGTTTGATATAAGGTGTCTCCAGAACAGCTAAACAGATCTTTGTGAAATAGTCTAGAAATTAATTAAAATTTATTGTGGCAAATTGTAAATCTGAAAGTGAAAGTTTCTTATTAAATTGTACCACATAACTGTAAACTTTGTGGAATAGTAGGCATTAAATGTTTAAAAAGAAATTATTTAAAGTTGTGTGACATAAATGTTTTGATTAACCACCGCATAATGCTGTTAGCTGACTCATAACATGTGCCATGTTTTGTTAACACAGCTATATTATATTACAATGTTACAAAATACTTATCTTATGTTCTCATTTTTATTACCTAGAGTTAATTATTATTTAATTTAGCTTACAACTGTGTATATAATATTATATTTTGTGGCTGTATATGTTAAAAATGCATTTCCAGCAAAATTTCAAAATGGCTACGAAATAAATTTCCTTTACTGTAAAAGACTATGTATTATTTATATGTTGTCTATTAGCAAGCTCAATATAAATATCCATTGGAGAATGAAACAAGTATTGCTTTGACCCAAATATTTTAATTAAAAATAGAATGTGTTTTTTTTTTTTTTGAAGAAAATTGTCAGAGCTGAGTGACGAGGGAATTGTTACAAATATATAAATTACTCTGTGTAAAATGTTTCCATTTATTTTAACGATTCTGTATTTATTCTTTTCAATTTTATTAGGGCCACTGATTAGGTAAGGATTTTCGGAGTTTTTTGGCTCTAAAAAATTTTTATTAGAGTCTTTAGATTTCCGTTTTGGTCTTTATAAATGATGAATATTTGAACCATAACAGAGTAGCAGCGGTCGCTTCGACATTTCGGCGAATTCAGGTGCTTTCTCTTTTACCACTTAAAAAAAAATCCTAGAACAAATTACATTTTTTTATTTCTTTGAAGTATGACACACACATTTTGAAGAAAAATGCGATAAAAAACTGTTCAATTGATAAACACAACATTGGAAATTAATTTAATATAATTAAAATTACTGATAAGCCGCGTGTTGTCGGCAAGTCTTTGTGAATTCCGGTACGGTAAATAATCAGCGTATAACGTGCTATATTTTTAAATATATGTATATATAACGGTACTTTGTTTACGTACGCTGGAGAAAATAACTTTGATTTTAAAATACAACGAGCTTTAAAAAAGGTTACATAAAAGTACGCATTAACACTTAATCGTGATATACAGGGCCGGTTTTAACTCTTTCGGCGCCCTCAGCAATATTTTTTGGTTGTCGGAGGAAAATCATCCAAACATAGGGTATCTTAAGGGGATCCTCAGGCGCCCATTTATATCCGATTCTGGCATTCCCGGCACCCTAGCGTTCGCGCTACCTCGACCTACTCTAACGCCGATATTGGTGGAAGACATGAATATTATAAAAAAAATCTTATCAAATGTCTGCAGTAAATATCTTTCTCACTCTTTTTCTTTAACAAAATATGCTTCCGTGACGTGTCCTTGAAATGAATAGAATATTGTTTCTGGACCAATCATGCAAAACATGCATGATAGTGTATGGACCCATTTCATTTAAATAAACTAGACGCTGGCATATTTTACTTTTATCACGATCGACCTGAAACTAGGTTTGTTTATTCAAACTTATGCTCTAAATAGTAATGATATACCATATAGGCTAATGATTAGGTAATTTTAAATTAGAAATTTTTATTATTATCTTTTCCGCTACTTCCTATTATTTACTGTAAAACAAACAATTCTGTAGGACGGTTGTGGGCTGTCATCGCAGAATCAAGCGTTCTCGTTCACTCAAACAGCGACGTTACGCGATTTTAACGCGATGTCGTGAAACCCTGACGAGACGTTATCGGTTTTAACCTTATACTGCTTCTCCAGGTACCAAGGGGCAGTTCTATTGTTGACATACTTCACTTACATGACATACCACTTGACGCGCAAGCCGATATCCGTGGTAAAGAGTGTGCTGCATCAGAACTGCAGCGGGTTAGTGCCCCCACCAGGCACTGATACGTCAGACGACCAGTGGTGTAACTGGCCGCCGTTCAGTAAGTAAAAGAACTTGATATTTTATCCCTTTCTTCCTAGCAATTGTAGAAAGAGATGAAAGACAACCTAGAAGGTCTTACTTTGATTATTGATTCGTGATGAATCGCTTCATTTGTTCAATATCAGTTACCCGTTGAAGTTAGGACATCGTAGACCTGGCCTAGACCTACATATTTATTTATAGGAATATTTGACTACAAATCTGTACAGGTCACCAGTTGCATATCAGCACCGAATATTTGTGATCCCTACAGCAGTGGTGAATAGATCGTCGCCACCTTCCATTAGGAGATGACTCTACAAGATCTTTGATTGATGCAGAACGAACCATTATTTAAATGTTTTGGCTTCTATGAATCTTTTTCAAAGCAGTTAAGCGGCTACGTTGCCTTTTTGTACGGTAGCGGATATAAAAAGCACGAGGCCTCCAGTACTTCGTTGATTAAATTAAACGTAAAGTAGGAATTGAGTGAAAACATCCTCATTGTTTTTATACAACTTTTTTAACTAAAACTATCTCGTTGGTTTGTTCAAACACTAAATCTATACTAATGGCTCTCTTAGTGTAAACTCTGAGAATGTCAGTAAGATTTTTATTATATTTACAGACACAAGTGACGCGAACACTCTGCTCGGTGCATTAGATTCTGCTTTCCTGTTTTCCTATGCGGGAGCAATGTTTATTTCGGGTTGGTATACCTTTATTTATAACTTTGTTAATTTTGGAATTATTTTCTCCTGTTCTTTAGATCGATTGGTAATTAAAAATAAACATTTTATTTCGATGTTATAAAAGATTGGAAATATTATGAATATTTATGATTGTTTCATCTGATTTTTTGAACTATTAGATGATAACAATATAATAAAATAGTTATTCCGTCTTATCCAGGAGTATTATCCAAAAAATATTGAAGAATTAAGATTGATAAAAACACTATCTAGTTCACAATTATCCGTTGGTTTCTGAGACCAAAATATCTGTATAACACATGTCGTCTTCCCTCTCATTTATTTGATAAAACTTTGGAATTTTGGTCTCGGAAACCTATGTTTTTGAGTTTCAATATAATCGCAGGCATGGTGGCGGAGCGCGTGGACTTAAGATATTTCCTGTCACTGGGTATGCTGGTCTCCGCCATCTTCTGCTACCTCTTCGGCCTCGGGAAGACCCTCAGCATACACTCCATTTCATTCTATTTGTTAGTGCAGGTAATATATTGTAGATATAAAGATAAGACTGAAACTTTTAAAACATTTTTAAGTCTGATTCTAGAGTTCTGACTTATATAACGTGTTTTAATCGCTAAAAACTCGTACACTTTGTCCCTCATATTATGTTTTGATCCGTTTTAGACTTTCTTTACTAAGATTTTTCATAAAATGTATATTATACGAGTAATTTGTGAGGTAAACAGAATCGCTTATTAAAAAAATAATATAATTTTATTAGAGGGATTTTTAACCAGCATGCGATTGTTTGTACCACGTGCTTTTAGGCAGGAGCTGGTATAGCACAAACGACAGGGTGGCCGGGGACTGTCGCCACTGTTGGTAAATGGTTCGGAAATAGTAAGAAAGGCTTAATTTTCGGCATTTGGAACTCTCACACGTCATTGGGTAATATATTAGGTAAGTGTCCCACAAGGTTCGCTATTGGGGCCACTTTTGTTTTACGTTATTATGCTTGACCAAGAGCGTCGGTGGCTTAGGAGTCTAGCATTTGACTTGCAATCTGCAGGTCCTGGGTTCGAATCCCGCCATGTACCAATGTATTTTTCGATTTACATATGTACATTTATCCGACGGCGAAGGAAAGCATCGTGATGCTGCACATATCTGAGAACAAAATCCAAAGATATGTGTGAAGTCGCTGCACTTGGCCGGCGTGGTTGACTATGGCCTAATCACCCTTAACTCAGGGTAGGCTCTGAGCCCCTCAGTGGGAACGTATAGTGAGCTGATGATGTTGATGCTTTACCATTAAACAATTATTGAAAATAGATTTTTACTTAAAGTTCACATTAATTCCTTATTGTAATTTAATTAAAATTTTTATCCATTAATTTTAATTTAGCTATGACCTATTTAGCAAAATTTAAATTTGCAGGTACAGTAATGGCGGCTGAATTCGTAGAAGCAGATTGGGCGTTGTCATTTATCTACCCAGCGTTGGGCATGGGGTTTGTGGGCACTCTGGTCTGGTTATTCCTGCCATCGGAACCCAGACACGTGGGTTTGGTGATATCACCACGGCCTGAGGTAATTTGAGGGAAAAAGTTAAAAATGATGGGGCAAATGTATGTTATTTATTCCGATTTTTTTACAGTCCAGACAATCACGAAGGTCTGAAGATGAAGAGGAGCCATCTCAAGTTATAGTCGGAGACCAGGTAAGAATAGAATAAGAATAGACAATAGAGGTTTTGGATTTTTTTTGTTTAAATAACAATATAAACTAACTGTTGTTATTTAATTTACAATAGTCCATTTTTTATTGAATTTCTATAGAAAATAATAATGGAAATGAAAATAAATCGAGTCTATTTGTCTATTGAAGAATAAATATATAAAGGTTGTTGGAAAATTGACAAATTTATTGTTTTCTAAGTGTAGGTTGTTTATAATTAAATTAATTAAACTAATATTGGTATGGAGTACCGCAATAACACTAATACTAAACCACAATACCGCACGGTAACCGCAAAATAAACGCACCGAAACCGCACAATAACCGCACGTCACCTCCGCAGGCGGCGAGCTTGCGTCCCAACCGCCATTCAGCAAACGCACCACCGGTAAGCCTACAATTTGCTAAATTAATATTATTCATTTTATAATTAATCATAAAAACTTACACAAAATATGACAATGTAAGTTTATGGCAACATTGAGTCGAGATGGCAACGAAATTAACCAATCAGAAAGCGCCTATTTTTTAGGTTAGTGCATGTTTCTATCCGCTTTGTTTTAGCAACTAATTTAGTTCAAGAAACTAAATAACTAAAAGCATGAACATGATGATGAACATTACAAATGTCGTAAATAATATAATATTCCCATTTTTACGTGATTTGGAAAAGAAAAGTAGATATAAAAATTTAGACATTGTCAAAAATTATATTATTTCTAGTTAATTAACGCTTTAGTAAGATTAGATAGATAAATCTATGAATTAGTCTATGGTAGATCTACGACATAGTGCGACAAACTTATCTGGCCCGGTTGAAACTGATGTAGCAATTAGTTGTATTAGAAAAATATGAAACACTAACTTCGAGAAGATAGATACAGAATAAGGATCTTATTAACTTTTTGATATAACCTATGCCCACCGGTTCAGATATGTTTGTCTGTCTTAAGTCCAATATCCTAACAAAGTAATTGCAATTGACCGTAGCCTCAGAGTGATGAAGCAGATGAGAGCACTGCCCTACTGAGGAGGCCTTCACGGGAGAACGGTGAAAGCGCGGTGTCCCTCTCCCGCGCACTCGCCATCCCAGGAGTCCTCGAGTTCTCCCTCTCTCTCTTCTTCGCGAAACTCGTCAGTTACACCTTTCTTTATTGGCTGCCTCTCTACATAAATACTTCGAGTAAGAATATAAATATGTTATTAAACTTTGTTGTCTATACATATAAATAAAATTGGATTGTCTGTATGTATTATGGAAAAAAATGTCTTGTAGTGTCTGTCTGTCTGTTCATAAGTCCACGTTTGTTCTGGGTAATGTCTGGACCGATTTTGAAGAGATTTGAAAGGAAGGTAGCTGATGTGCGCACCCATATTATAGAAGTAGTCACTTTTTTAATTCTGCGCTGACGGATTCGTGTGCGACTTTGTAGTTCTGATTCGTGGTACAGAATCTATTAATGCTTTGTTTGTGATTAAAAGCACTAGTTTTTATATTTAAAAATAGAAATTTGTACCTACTCTTTTCCAAACTGGCTTCGAGGAAAGGCTAAGTTTGAAATCCTTGGTTCCCCTCTCGTAGCGTCGCTAACGCCGAAGCAATCGGGCGAGCTGTCGACGGCGTTTGATGTGGGCGGTGTGCTGGGCGCCGTGCTGGCTGGCTTGCTGGCGGACTGCGCCGGCTGCCCAGCTCTCGTCTGCGCCGCATTCTACACGTTCTGCGCACCCGTTGTCAGTACACTATATTCGATTTCTCGATGGATAGATTAATTTTAAACAAAACGTATCCAATTTCCAATAAATCTGTCACTGCCTATGCAAAAATATTCACGTTTCATTATTAACTTTTTACCTTGACGAAAAAACTGACGTTCGGCGTATTAAAAGTTAAGTAAGATGTTGCACGGGCGGTTTTTTACCGCGCGTTAAAAAATCTTTCAAAAACAACAACTAAGTTCTATATATTTATTGAGGTAGCGCTTTTAAAATGCGATGCTTTTCATCACGCATTGTTGCATTTTGAGCTCTAAGCTAATGGAACAAGAGAGAATTTAAAATTTTCTCTAACTCGGATTATTAACGCTGCGTCAAAAAAGCGCTCGTGTGAATAATTTATGAATTTATTCATCGATTTCAACAGTTTTATTTTTTCTTCAGGTGTTTGTACGTTTCATATATTGTATTCGAAAATATTTGTCAGTTGCTGGCGTACCAGCGCTGGGGCGCGGTGTCTTACGGGCTGAACGTGGCTCTGTTGGTGCTGGGCGGTGTGCTCGTCAACGGACCTTACGCGCTCATCACTACGGCAGTCAGCGCAGACCTCGGTCAGACTCTACCTTATTCGTAACCTACCTTTTTGTATCGAGGGGGGGGGATCTTCAAAAGATACCTTACCTTCCGGAAAGACAGGGTTGTGTGGGCCACACTGAAATCATATCGGTGGACATTCCCTAGTCCAGGAGACCCGGGATCTTCAAACGCACTGAGATTACCCAAACCTTGCCCTCCTATACTAATCTTTTTTTTTTAAATATTAATTTATAAATATTTCTTGTACCATACCAACTAAGCTCTTAGCTTGTGCTAGGTTAGTTTACGACAATAGTCGAATGGCGGGATTCGAACCCACGACCTCGTGCTCGGAAATCTGGTCCCTTAAACATTGGGCTATTGGCGCTTAAACTTACATATCGTAAGTTCTTGTAATTCTATGAATTTCAGTTCTTTTGTGAAATAAAGAGAAATATTTTAGAATTTACGAATTTCAGCTTGAAAATTTTAATAAGATAAAAATATTAGGCAATTTGTTAGGATATGTTTTTACAATAACAGTGTATTTCAGGTACTCACAGCAGCCTGGCTGGTGATGCTAAAGCGCTGGCCACAGTCACCGCCATCATTGATGGAACAGGAAGCATAGGTCAGATATAACATTAAATGCCGCGGACGAGAGCGAAAGCGTGCCCGTAACCCCGTCCCGATGCGTTGGAGGAACAGAGGGGTTTAGTGGGTATGCCTTCGCTATGGAGGAGAATCCCACATAACTACCGCGTCCCCCCCGGGGCGCGGAGTATGCATAAAGCATTCCCCTCTGAAAAAAAAAGATATAACATTAAATACCGTTTATCTTGAATTCGCAGAAATGGCGAAGTGACCGCTGCCACACAATTACAGATGATTTGTCTACTTTTAACTGTCGGTGGAGGGGACGCAAAGTAAGGGGGATATTTCCCCTTCCTATGCGTCTGCGCCTCTGGCAAATTCACTTTATATTCTCATCCTTTCTTCATAAGACAGAGGGTGGGAAAAGTAAAGAAACTAAAATTAGGCTCCGATACGTACACTTATCAGACTGTACGCGGAATTGATTTCATTTGAGGCGTGTCTTTTGTACTGTCGTGGTGGAGGTTCCTGCTGGCGGTCTACCACAGATAAGACACTCAGAGTTAAACAGTGGTCACTAAGGAGTCCGCTCAGTTAGTGTTTGTGTCCAGGTGCGGCTATAGGGCCGATGTTGGCAGGCGTGGTATCCTCAAGCGGGTCCTGGTCACATGTCTTCTATATGCTCATCTCCTGCGACCTGCTCGCTCTCTGTCTGCTGCTCAGGTATAACTCATTTCAAATATCTTGCCATCTGACCCATATCGATTCAGTTGTAAAATTGACATGCATATATTTTTTTTTAATTTAAATATTACCATATTTTTGTTAATTTACTAATATTTCTTGTACCATTCCAACTAACCTCTATGCTTTTGCTAGGATATGGTTTACGACAATGGTCGAATTGCGGGATTCGAACCCCCGACCAAATGATCGGAAATCCATACTTATAACCATTAGGCTATTGATGCTTAAAAAAAATAAGATTGTCTAAAAGTCAATTAATTTAAGTCATAAATCAGGTGTGCCAGTAGTGTGCCAAATGTACAAAATATGCATTGTTACAATACTTGTATTCCAGGATAGTGAAATCGGAAGTGGTAAAACTACGTCAGGAGAGAAGAATGGCCTCCCCCAGAATAATAAGGATAGAATAAATTTATCCAGTATTATTTTAGCAAATTGTACACCAGTATTGGATATATCAAGTTTTCAAATTAAACGCCCTTTGGTGCTAACACTTATCTCCTTTATTTTCTTTCCAATAAATGTGTTCCTATATATTTTTTTTAAATAAAATAATTATTAATATAATATTTAATTTACTCAATTTAAATAAATAAAACAATTAACAGACAAATAGATTCAAAGATTATAGAGTGGGTATTACGAGCACTTTCTTTAATATATTTTTAGAATTGCATTCAGTATCGCTGTCTTACCGTGAGTTTCTGAGACATAAATCCCAGTTTAAAATATATTATCGTTGTTTTTGTCAAAGATATTGACAGAGATGATATTTTTTACGGAGATTTTGGTTTCAGAAACTCACTGTAAGTTTCAAAATAGACAACCGAAGCTCTACAATAGTATTTTGAGCGTACGCTTTGGCTTTTAATATCCCAACTATTGTTAGGTACAGATGTTAACTGTCTATTACCAGTTAATTGAATTCTTATTAGTAAAGTTATTTTTTTTAATTTTATATCATTTTTTGGTTACTGGCAACACTGCACATAAAACTTTTTATATTAAATGTCATATGTTTGTATTTCACCATTAAATTAGATAATTTTAATAGTTTTTTTTTAGAAGCCATTCCATGTTTTGCATTTGTTAAAAATATATCCGATTTTTAGTGTAACTTTTTTTATTGCACAGATGAGTTTAATCAGGGTTTAAAGATCTGCATTCAAATTTATCATCTTTATATACTTTTAGTGTATATATAATTATGTTTTTGTAATTTTTATTTATTATTTTTAAAACTGCCAACAATTTAGAAATACTTATATTAAAACAAATATAATTAATATATATTTTGTCGTATCTATATATTTTATGTCTTTGCGCGCAACCAACGCAAACTAACCTCAAAATAATTTACATAATTATAAAGAAATTTATAATAAGATTTCTATCATTTATAACTATTTAATATTTACTTTTAAAATGATAACGGCAATGATTAAATAAAAATCTTAAAAAAAAACAATTCAAAAACTCGATTTATTTTTAAAACGTAAATCCGAGTGATTAGTTACGTCAGTGTAAACTCAAGCTATATTGATACATAGATAAATGGAAGTGACAACGTACTGAATTCGGTCTAACCGCATGTACTTAGTAATAATCAATTATATTATGTTTGTACAAAATGACTTGTATAGATTGAAATAAAATTAATATTAAATTTTTATGTCTTTTTTTATTCAAAACCATACAAGAATCTTTTTAATATGAGTTTGATTGCAGTCACTTGTATACTAGCTGTCGCCCGTGAGTCCGTCAGGGCGAAATTAAAAAAAAATACTTACTAATTAACCTATGTATTCTTCCAGACTATGTTCTACATCTATGCCAAATTTAATCGAGATCCATGCAGCCGTTATGGAGAGACCCAATAAACATCCATCTAAATTCGAGTAATTGGCCTTTTAGTATTTTGTAAAAGGATAAATTTAAAATTATATGAAAACGGCTAAACACTGACGTATATTCGTCCGGTGGCGGCACCGACTAGTTTCGAGCCCATCGGGGGCCCTTCATCAGGATGAGTGGTACTGGTATTATTTCGCGGACAAGGCCCTCAGCTCACTGCACGCCTGCGCAATTAGAGCGTGAGTGTTTAGCCGTTTTAATATAATGTCTCAAGAAAGATTGAATAATTTCAGGATAAATTTAATTAAAACAACACTATTTTAGAACATAAAACTTTATTAGCTTACATTAACAATGGTAAGGCATCAGAAAGGCTGGACGCTATTTGTACTATATATTATTTATACAACAAAATGCTCTTTTTAACATACCCAAAAATTACATTAAAACATATTATAAATGAGTAAACAATTCAACCAAAAATTACCAATTTTTTTTGTTATGGCAACACTGATATATTGGGTATTATAAGATTCAAACTTTATGGTTGCTCGTATTTAATCCCTTCACAAATGCACATCAAATGTCAACCATGGCGGTCGTTACATCAACTTATCGCTGGTTTTTAACACCTATATCTCTGTATAAACATATCATCATCCTTGTCATTATCTTTGACAAAACAGAGATAACAATATGTTACAGGAATTTTTGTCTCAAAACACAAGACTTTTTTTGGTTAATTTGTGATAATTGTGTAATAAAGTGAAGTTTACTTATAAGAGTAGCTAATATTAAATACGTGAGAAAAAGTGTTTTTCCAAAAATAGATTGTAATTTATGAGTTTTGCTATGGTTGTTTATGGTATTGGAATCCGAGCTCATGTCGGAAGCCTAAAATTGGCACGCAAAGTCCCGTGTAAATATCAAGCTTCCATAAAGTTTTGTTAAATATTTTTGCATTACATTGATATTATTTTTTGGAATTTAATATCTCTCATCAGCTCACTATACGTCCCCACAGAGAGGCTCGGAGCCTACCCTAAGTTAAAGGTGATTAGGCCATATTAAACCACACTTCCCAAGTGCGGGTTGACTTCACACATATCTTTGAATTACTTCTCAGATATGTGCAGCATCACGATGTTTTCCTTCACCGTAAGAACGTTGAATAAATGTTCATATTTAAATCGGAAATCGAAAGAAATTGGTACATGGCGGGATTCGAACCCAGGACCTGCAGATTGCAAGTCAAGTGCTTGACTCCTAAGCCACCGACGCTCAAGTTAGTTATCAATATGTAAGTTAATAATAATTTTGGGTATATTAAAAAAGCTAACATTAAGTAAATATTAGTGTAAGTGATATTCGCGTGTGGAACAGCTGACAAAAAGCATTTTCAAAACATCGTAACTTAAGCATACAAATAGGCAGATACATAGTAAATAATAATAAAAATATATGTCAAATTATTTAGTCTAATTTATTGTCTGTTTTGCTATATTATGACTGTTTTTAGAGTATATATATATATATATATATTAATTAAATAATAATTATATATATAAAGCTTATATATTATGTGATATGTTATTAATTATTGTTCCAGTTATGTTTTATCGTGACTTGATTTTTGGGCTCTTATAGTGAATTTCCGAGACCAAAATCCCCGTTTAAAACATTGTCTCAGTTTTTTGTCAAAGATAATGATTGACGATATGTTTTATACAGATATTTTAGTATCAGAAATTCACTGTGAAAGTAATAAACGACTGGGTCCTGCCCTAATTTGTGTCATATTTTATATGTTTTAAAAATATCCCAAACATCAAACCACAAACACAAAATGTTCATTATTATATACCTAACAATAGAGACGGAAAATATATATATTTCTTTATCTTATCGGAGAACTAAAATTAACCATTTTATAGACCAAGAGCCTTGTTGTTTTTTGACGTCTTGATTTTTTTTAGTTATCCAATTGGGCCACTAAACCATTACTGCATCGATTATAAAATATGATAAATTTATTAAAAAAAAATGTAGTTAAAAAGTACTCATAATTTTTTTATGTGACTGAAGTTGTACACATATGATATAGAACGAGATGAATATATACCGAAGGCTAATGTGCGACAGAGAAAGAGCATTCCTGCATTGCCAACTTCAGTTATATTAATATTTGTGGCCAGAAGTGTACAAAAAAGCGTGGCCTTATGTGTATTTACAATTGTCTAAATAACCTTAATTTTAACTTAACTTTGCTTAGCATTTATGTCATTTTTTTATAAATTTGAAGTCAGAGTCGAAAACATCTTTATCGAGATTTTATTACGTTGGCAGTATTGTAATTTGTGTTCTAACTCGAATTAAAAAAAAACGACATAAATTCTAAATCTGTATTTAATTATTTAAAAAAAATTAAATCATTATATCTTGCTTGTAAGGTCGCTGTTGCCAACCGTAAAAAGATAAAATGCAACTAGCAACACTGGTTCTTTGATCTGTCAATGTCACTGCTTAAATTTTAAAGCATTATTTGGTCGGATTTGTATCGTTGTTACACTATATTACTTTTGCTTATAAAAAAATCTAAAAAAAATTGCAAAAAATATCGTTATTTTGTGTAAAATTGTTAAGAATTATTACGAAACTACACAAAACTTACTATACAAGAGAAAAATTGTGCAAAAAATATTTCTGTTTTATATTAAAAAAAAATTTACTGTCTCGCATTTTTTTTTTAATTTCTAAATATAAATGCATACAATTTGTACAGACACAAATATGGCAAGATTTTTTTTGACAAGACAAAAAAGTTACATGACCAATAATTTCAACATTTTTTAAGATTTGATTTAGTTAAATTTATTAAAATGAACTCAAAAAAATCTCATACACTTATTTCTAAATAATATAACACGAGACAGCATTTAAAGTGGTTAAGTACCAAAAGTTACTAAATAAATCCAATTCCATACGTATTTGTTTCACAAAACTATATTAAGATATAGGAATCTTAGGATTCCTTAACATTTCTCATACAGCTGTAAAGAAATACTAATCAATATTAAAATAAAGAAAAAAATCACAAAAAAAAATAAAAAAAAATCTTACAATTTCATGGCTTCTTATATTTAACCCAAGTAGCTCAAAAAATCTGAATTTTTTTTAGAATTTCGTCCCATTTCGATATAAATTACTACCTTTCATCATCATCAGCTCCCTATACGTCCCCACTGCGATGCTCGGAGTCTACCCCAAGTTAAGGGTGATTAGGCCATAGTCAACAACGCTGGCCAAGTGTGGGTTGACTTCACACATACCTACTTTTCATAGAAATTAGTATTTCTTTACAAACAAATATAAACAGACAGACAAATAACATATAATAAAGGTCCTAAAATAAATATATACACACACGAAATGAGTATCACTTTGTTTATAAAGAAAACCTGCTAGTTTTTAAATAAGTTTTTATGGTCCTTCGAGCAGGATACATAAAGTTTTAGCACCGATGTCTTTCTAAAGTTTAAAATTTTCGAATTATACGTGATTCGCTATTAAATTGTGATGGAACGTATAAGGCGTAACACGTTGAGCGCCACGCGTATTTCTAAGACAATACCGTTCGGGCCACAAGCGCCGCTTATACGCACTGGTATTAAAGGGCCGGTGTTTCGGATCGGAGTACAAAATAGTTTACATTTTTAAAGTTATACCTATAGGCTTTGTTTCAACACGTTACGCGCCAAGTATGTTTTGTTTTTCTTACCGCTTAGACCGCTCTGATAAAATTTCTTAGAAATGGATTCGTTGCCGTTATTCTTTTTGCGACAAATCAGTTCATTACAGTTCAAATATCAAAGAGCGTCAAACATCTTAAACAGAAAATCTAGTGTCAGTCACTGACGTGGCGCTCAACGTGTTAAAAATGTAAGAATCAGAATTTAAAAAATATTGAAATATAATGATTTACTAATAATATACATAAATCTATCTTGCGATTAACATTTACTCCTTTATATTAACTAAAATAAAATTTTATTACTAAGAAAAAAAACCACTGATCACCAAGAAAATCTTATTAACTGTGAGTTTCCAAAACCAAAACCTCAATTTAAAACATATAGTTCTATGTTTTGTCAAAGATAATGGAGATGTTTGACTCAGAAACCCACAGTACGTGCATAAACAAATGTGCAGAACACTTAACTATGGCAACGATAATAAAACCTATACAACTAATGGACAGGACGTATATTTATAACATCAACATGTCAACACTGATTAACTAAGTTTAAGAGAAATAATTCGACCCGTATTAAAAACAAGCCCGTTACAAAATAACACGATTTTATTCCTTTTTTAAAATGGCAAGGACTTGAAATATTTAAAAAAAATGTCTCGTACGTAGAGTCCCGAAGGACCAGAAAATTCTGTAAATATTTAAGGCTGTAAAAGATCTTTAACTTTAATATTTGATGGTAAATTAACCGTTAATTTCTAAGACCAAAACTCTATATAAACTAAATCGTTATCCCTGTCATTATCTTTGAAAAAAAAATTAGAGATAACAGTATAATTTAAACGGAGATTGGTTTCAGAAACCCTCGGTTAATCATTAACTTCGACCAGAGTTTCATTAGCGTTGACATCACTGTCAATAGCTGGTAAGTTATCAATAACGGAACTCAATGTTTCAACTGTATTACCGTTATCGTTAACCGTTATATTTGCATCACTGTTATTTGTTACGTTATGAGTTGGTACATCACTCGATACATTAGCGTTAGCGTCAACACCAGACGCTAAATCTTCATAACAAGGTGGCATTTCAACATTATTTGTCGCTTCTTCATCAACATTAGAGCTATCTCTATCGTTATTTAACCTTTCTCTACTTAAATATTCAGGCGGCGGTCCGTACACTTTGTACCTCATAGCTTCAGTGTACGGAGGTGGCCGGACTGAATCATCAGCTAGTACAGGATAATTCTCAAAATTAGCACCTAAAAGTCTAATCGTACGTCCATTTAATGTGTAAGTCTCATTAGAATTAACACGAACAAAATCTAAATCTTCAATATTAATTTCAGCCACATTGGGTGTGTCCGGTCTTGGTTCATTGGATGATCTGCGTCCAAACCTGGGTATACTGAGTTGGAACCTACCTAGTTGAAGTGTTAGAGGTCTCTGGGCCTGGTTGATGTGGTGTATGACACGTTCAAGGGTATTCCTTCGGAGATTTCTACGTCTGAAGAATTCAACTGGTGTTGCCATGTAGTTGAGGTCTGTGGCATCGTCTAGACTCATGTGGGCGAGGTCACAGTATGTAGGGCTGCGGTAGTCAGGCAGGGCGGGCCGCGCGCGGGATGGAGACGAGTTCAGGGAGGAGGAACGAACATCTGTCATCTCCACCTCGCAACATTGAGTCGGTACCTGAAAAGTTAAATTAACTTTAGCATAAATTCTCCTGGTTATCTTTTACTAATTGTCGCTCACGTGTCCGTCCACATTGAATAAAAAAAACTTAATTAGTAGGCTGTGTGTTCATCCAGACTATGTTTTACATCTATGCCAAATTTCAGCGAGATCCGTGTTCTGGTGACACCTTCTAACAAACATCCATCCATCCATTTATTTATCCAAACTTTTACATTTTACTAATATTATAAATATGAATGTTTGGATGGATGTTTGGTTAGAAGGTATCTCTAGAACAGCTGTATGGATATGTCTGAAATTTGGCACAGATTTAGAACATAGTCTGGAAAAACACCTATAGGGTTTTTTTTTATTCCGCAGCAATTTCTAATATTAGTAACACATTTCTGTAAGATACCTGTCGATATCTTGAAGAGAATATAGCAGAGAGTCGAGCAAGTCCGAAGCCTGCAGAATCCGGCTGCGAAGTCCCAGTCTCCGGACAGTCCTCACACGGACTGGCTGCTCCTGAGTTCTATATATGGAAATACATAGACGGGTAAATAATATGCAAGGATATACGTACATAAAATGCGTGCGCAAAGTGCGTGCGTGCGCATACGTACCTGTGCGTCTCGTGCTGGACTGGCAGCGGCCTCTCGTGACTGTTCTAACAATCTTGATGCTTCATAACATGGAGGGAAACGCGCCGCCTGCAAATAAAAAAATATCCTTGCAAATATACATTTAAACTACAATGAAACCCTACTGTTTACTTATACAAAACTAGTATGCATTAACAGATATTTTTTTAGTTTTATGTACTTTTATGTAGTAAATGCACATTTATGTATGATTCCTCGGACATATAAGTACATGTTCGAGCCTACGGGATACGCCTATGTTCGGGTGTCCATTTATATATTCGTTAATTACCGTAAAAGCTCATTTGACAGTCAAGTTCAAAAACTTGCTATAATACATTACTAAAGGCTAAATTAAAATTCTCATGGTGACTATTTGCTTCACGATATTTTGAAGCGAAGTGGGAAGCGTAGTGTGAAGCGAAATGGGAAGTGACGTGGGAAGCGTAGTGTGAAGTGACGTAGGAAGCATAGTGTGAAGCTATGTGGGAAGTGAAGTGTGAAGCGATTAGGATGCGAATGTGTGCGTGTGCGTACGTACCTGTGCATACTGTACGTTGTAGTGGTGCGCAGTTGCGCGCTCTGCGTGCGCGTAGCTGCGCAGTGCTGCGCGCTTCATGTGCATCTTGCAGATAGCAGAGACGAGTAGCACCACCGCTATCATGAAGATTAGTGCGCACGCTGAAACAGATAATGCCCGACCTGAGTCGTACTTCTATTTATTGCCCTTTTCTAAAAGAGCCCCTAACTTAAGGAAGACTTGAGCCCTTTTGTGTGTTTGTTGTATTTGAGATAAAATAAACAACGCTATTGTAGACTGTCAAATGATTATTGCGTTTCGTATTTTTTTTTAATTTGTTTAACTGTTTTCAATAATTATATTTCGAGTTAACTGTAATTATATTATTGTTTTTTTTCTTTTCTTTTTACTTTTATTAGTATCTGTTATATTCATATTATTTAGTCGTACGTTTCTTTAAATAAAAAAAATCTCCGTTGATGAACTCTTGTAGCTTAAATGACGTGACCATATTTAAATTCGATTTTTTCTCTTGTGTAACATTATTTATCTGAAAATATTAAGGTTCAGACCTGTGACAGTATATATAGTAGACTGTATGAAGCTGTTCTCATCAGGCGCGTGGTGGTCTTCGAACAGTGGTGGGTATTCCATCTCCACGTAACCTGCAAACACAAAAATATATCATTTTTTTATTGTAACCACTTGGTCAAAAACATCCGACTCGATGAAGGACCATTTCATTTTTGTCTATTTTATAAAATTCTCATGTCACAATTTTAGTTAGCATACTCCTTCGAAACGACTTGACTGATTTTTATAAAATTTTATTTGTATATTCGTAGACGGAGTCAGGCGACAGCTAGTGTCGTATATAAGTCTTATACAAAGGTACACCTATATTTACTTTTTATTCTCTTCTGGAAGTTAAGAGTCACCAGTCACCAGTCAGAACTTCTACCATTTTGTATACACATTTAATTTTGAATATTTGCTTTGCTATTTTAGAGATATAATATACATATTCCTTGTACATAATGGTGTAGATATATGAGCAGGTAGGTACATAACTCACTCTCAAGTCTCGAGTATCTGGGATGCTCGCTGCAGCAGTCAGGCTGACGACACAGCGGGTCTCCGCCCCGGCAACACGCCGCCTCAGATATACACCGCCCAGATGAACAGTTCAGTTTGTCGCTACCTGCACAAATAATAACGTAAGAATCTACAAAGTAAAATACTAGCTGATTGCCGCGACTTCGTCCCTAAATCAGAAAAGAACTTAATTTTACCTCCCAAACTATGTCCTGCATCCATGTAAAACTTCAATGAGATAATTTTTAGTGTTCCGTACCTCATAGGAAAAAAACGGAACCCTTATAGGATCACTTTGTTGTCCGTCCGTCTGTCTGTCAAGACCCTTTTTTAAATATCTATAGTAGTATAAATAAATTAAATAGAATAAATTGTGATATCTCTAATTCTGGTCGTTTGACATTTTTCCGCACAAAATAATAGATGGCGTTAATCTCAAACTTAACTGGACGGTAACGCCATCTATCAAATTCACAGATGTACTAATATTGAAAAGTTCTAGATTCTTCTAGATATAGTCTATATTTAGTAGATATACTAGATTTATTTCAATCAACAGTTTGTAATAAGAGATAGGACAGTAACGTACGTGAGCAGGGTCGTGCGGAGCAGAGCGCAGGCGCCTCGTCCTCTGCGTGCAGACAGTCGCGCCATCCATCGCACACGTAGTTCGCCAACACGCACCGAGATTCGCACGCGAACGCACCGCGCGCGCATTTGTTCGGACCTTATAAATTAAATACAAAATTACATACATTAAGAATGTTACATGTGAAAAAAATTTGTTATTCTGTTAAAGCAAAGCCAATTTTTAGTTTCTTTAATTCAAACAAACACTCATAGGTATAAATAGTTAACGAACTAAAAATGCAATCTAATCTTAGTAATATCATCTATGCGAATGTTTGGATGGATGTTTCAAAGCATCTCCAAAACGGCTGAACGGATCTCGCTGCAATTTGGCATCAATGTCTGGAAGAATACATAGGCAACGCGGACGGAGTCGCGGGCGACAGCTAGTAATTGTATAACAATGAAAATAGTATAATATTATTGTAATAAATTCTACATATCTATAGGAAAAAATATATTTGTTTATGTACCCACCTCTAGGCTGCACGAGTACATATTTGGTGACGCTGAAGGGCGGCGCGGAGCACATATAGTGCCCACTGTCACTGATCTGGAGCCCCAGACGCTGCAGCTGGCTGGAGTTGCTCGCACCACTCGGCTCTATTGTGAACGGCCTGGAAAGGTTTAACAAACTATGTGTATCATCAAAAAGCTGGGCAAAATGACCATATAAATAAAGTTCTTTTTTATGCTGTACAATAGCAAAGACCAGCATTTTACTAACATTTAAAATAATAAAAAAATGATCAAAAGATACTTCAGGTGATAGAAATGGCCCTTAACAAGTTTTCTTAAACTTCGCGGACAAAGTAGGGGACAAAAGCTAGTGAATTATAATAGCCAACTTTTACAATTACCTTTCATTAACAGTGCCATTTCCAACGTAGTTCCATACATACACTCTCGGTGTTGTATCACCTCGTAGTTCACATATTAATGTCAAATTATCCAGCACCCTCTTCACCAGAATATCAGTGTACTCCAGATCTCCTGGACTGTACAGCATCAGCGCTGGCGGCGGCGACAATGGTTCTGTTATACCTGTTACAATGATAGAAAATGTAATAATTATTCATAGTTTAATATTAAAAAGTAAGGAAACATTTAAAGATCCAACTAATTCTACTAAATATTAGTAGGTTGTAAAAATATAATACATAGAAATAAGGGATCAAGCTCTTTAATGCTATAAAGGTACATGTACATTAGCCCGCGCCGGACGCACCGCACGCACGGATTTGCTTTGTCTTGATATGAGGCGGGCAACACGGATGATGGACAGAGCACTATGTAAAATCATACAAAGCATTAAAATCCGTTGCGGGCCGTGCCTGCGGTGCGTCCGGCGCCGGCTAATGTACATGTACCTTTAGATCTGCAAAAATATTTAAGTTTTAAACTTATAATTGGTATGCAAACTGAATATTGATTCTGGCAAATATTCAACAAAAGGCCTTCAAAGTTTGAACGGCAATACTTGATACTGACAAGTCTTTAATTTGCATTATTATTGATTGATTTCTTCATTCATTGTGTTACAAATGATTGTAATTCCTAAAGGTGGCTTTAAAACTTTTTTTTTCCATTGTTAGTAACAGTATATGAATATAAATTGTTATATTGAAATATCTACAAATGAAAATAGGTAATTCTTTTATGATAATTAAATTATCAACTCCTCTCTCGTATACCGCTTATGTGTGGTAAGTGCACAAGGTTTTATTAACCTTAATGTTTTAGATCGATTACTTATATCCGGCCACATGCCTGTTAATTTTTATTCAATTTTTTCATATAAAAAAAGTACCGGACCAATTTCAAATATTCTTGTCTTTTAAAAGCTACAATATCAATGAGTTACATCTGCCATATTGATTATTAGATTTTTTTAAATTCCGTTATGGACAAAGTTGCAGGTAATAGCTAATTTATAAAGTTTAGTGTAAGATAGAGAAGAGATTTTACATGTTACAGAGAAGAAACTACAATATTTCATTAAGATACTTACTGATTATTCAATTTGTAAGACAAAATACAGATGTAAATATATTTTGTATACAGATGTACGTAGCATTGTTTTAATTTCACTTAACCTGAAGACCTTGATATTATATTTCCTTGTTACGAGTTTCATTATCAATGTATATGCAATCATTTAACATGTTTATTACATTTCAGCCTCCAAGTAGTTTTCCTACTTAATACATGCATAACTAGCTGTGCCCATGACTTTGTCTGCATGAAATAGCTTTCAGTGGCATAATGACTATGGCTATATGATAATAAGATGATATTCATCAGCTCATTATATGCCCCCACTGAGGGGATCGGACCGTAAGTTGGAGGTGACTAGGCCATAGTCATTGCTGGCCCAGTGCGGATTGGTTGACAAGGTTAAGGCTAATATATTTTATTTAAAATAGACATATTTAACTTTCAAAACATTCTCATTAACCTTACATATTCCTTCTAACTAAAAATTATACTTCAATACAAATTTCCACCTCCAATTTCAACCTCTTACAACACTTTTTTCATGTTAAAAAGCCCATGTCATTTCTTGGGCTGAAGACTATCTATATACCACATTTCATTTAAATCAGTTTATTACTTTTTCATGTAAGTGAGACAGACTGTGTTGCCTTTGCATTTATAATATTAGTTAGGATTAAAAGAGCAACTGTTGTTTGTTTATCAATTGCATTATATATTTATTGTATTGAGTTTTTTCAGAATATACTTTCAATATATGCAATAAAACAATATTATGTACACATTCTGATGCAAATAATTGGTAGAGTTTGTAAATAGAGGGCAGACATACTATACAACATGTTTAATAAGGTTTCAAATTTCCAATTACACACAATTCAAAACTAAGCTATCCGATAGGAATGAGAATACTACTAACTAAATATCTCAAATTACTTGCGATTTATCAAATAGCTTAGTACAGGTTTTATAAATTATTAATAGCATAGGAAAAAAAACAAATTCATAAATAAAATGATTAAATATGAAATGAAAATGTCAGTAATTTTTTTTTTGCAAATTGTTATGTTTTAATGAAACTTAGAAGGTTAATATTTTGTTTTAGGGTTATAATACCGGTAAGTAAAATAACTGTAGTTGTTAAAATATTTTTAAGAATAGTAGTACGAAAGTGAAAGGATATATAGGGTAACTATGCCGCCACCGTTATGTATCAAAACAAACGCAAAGGAAATAACTGTAAACATGAAAACCTAACTGTATAAATTTAAAGGCCATTTGAGAACGACTAAAGTCAATGCATAACCCTACTGTAAATAAAATCAAGGTCTTTTGTGAGAATTATAGCAAAAAAAAATGTAAAATTATATATTTATAACGAGGTTGTTGGTTCCTGTTATAGAGTAATTAACTAGTTAAATTTATCACACTTACATGTCTGCGAGTTGATGAGAACAACGGTAAAACTTAAAAACACATTATTAACAATTCCAAACATTTTTATTTATTTTTCATTTTCATTAAACTGACGTTAAACAATCAACGCCATTTTTGTTTCCATGATTGACAGTGACACGTTTCTCTCGACGCATAACAGCTTTTTTATCT